CTGCTTTTTTAGTAAATTCAACCTATATGAAGCATAAAGCCTGACCGCGTCAACCTTGCTGCACCGGCTAGTCCTGTCCATAGAGCTAGGTACAGTCAAAGATAATATATATATAGATATGCAGGCAGGTATAAATTTAGAGGTCTTGAGAAAATGTGCAAACAGCACCATCTCTGTCGTACGCATGGCATTTTATCCTCTGGATTGATGCTAATTTATCACTTTGTTTATGCGTGATAACACTAAATGCGTACTATAGTATCAACAATGTATACTGCATATTGTACTTAATGAAACAAATTAATCAATGCAAATAAAACTGAGGTAGGAATTTGACTAGACAAAGTTTAAATGTGCAAGTTGTACTGAATGGCATACGTAAATTAACGCAATTTAAAAAAAAAATTATGACTATAAAAGTACATCGAGTCTAGGACAAATTACAACTGATCTGATCATAACATAAGAAAAACGCGTACTGTATGTTTGTGTTACCTTGAAATTTAATTCTATTGGTCAAACAGGTCCAGATAGCAACACTTGAACTATACAGGATGCAATACTCGTACTGTATGTTTATATAACACAAATGCGTATTTCCTACAGATGGCAGCAGGGGGAGAAAGGAATATAGAAAGTAATCAATTTGCTATAGATGTCTCTCCTTGCACATTTTCTCAGAGGTTCAAAAATTAGTTGTCTGCTACAAGCAATTTAGGAAGGAGGTTTCTACCTGCCTGCATATCTATATATATATTATCTTTGGGTACAGTACAAACTGGGATTGGAAAGGTTGACCCGGCTCGAAATTGTAAATGTACTACGGCTGCCCTTGATTCCAAGATAGCTAGTTATGTTTAAAAGATGAGTATACAAATAATGTATTTCTAACACATTATGTATAATCTTCATAAATAAATTTACAGTCAATGCTGTTTAAAGGGACTTTCGTTTTAATTTCAAGTGACCCTCAAATTATAAAAGCCAGACATGCCCTATTCACAATGGTACCCTTGAAACCTTTATCTGATAAATAATGTGGAAGAAAATGTAGTTTTGCAGTTTCATTCTGACATTTTCTACATAAATTCCGAAACAGAATTATGCGTCTGCACTTTTGTATAGAAACCACATTCGAAAATAATCAGTTTTCGAAATTGTAAACATGGATATCTAATTCATTTATTGATCACGCAAAGCTTTAAAGGGTACAGTTGTCTACAAATATGGAGGGTAACTTATAATAATAATTAGGCCAACAACCCTTTTAAATTTAGGATTTTTAATATCAAATTTTAAAATGTTAACTCTAATTTATAGCTGTCCAAAACCTCATTAACACTGAACACTTTTATTATAATATTCATTAATTTAACTGTTAAACCTCAACAAATATAAATGAAAAGATGACAGAAGAAATAACTTTACTTTTTGATACGTTAAAAACAGAGGATGACATCGAAATAAAAATATTATTTTCAAAAATAAATATGAACTTTCGGGAATTAGAATTGTTCAAATATGAAAAATATCTATCCCTGTCGCCCCTGTCAGAGTCTATAACTAGATCCCGTATTAGTGTCACACTACGAAACATAAAAATTGCGAATTTTTTGGCCAAACATATCACGGTTCTACAGGCTTTGTGCAAAATATAAATTGCTCACGCAACCAAGGGGAAACAAAAGAACGTAAATTATTGTCAAAAATCGAATCAGGAGGAGGGNATTGATGAAGGATTGAAATTGCAGATCGATCCACAACGGTACCTTTATATGAGCAAGAAGATATTGTCATTTTTCGCAGTCAAGAAAAAATTATCAATTTTTATATTTGACATCATTTTGTAAAATATAGTCCACGATCATGATCAAAATCAGATTATCAAGTTGAAAGTCGTCTTTGATCTTTGAATTTATTAGTGACATTCAGTCGTCCACCTACTTAAAACAATAATCACAAAATTCTCCAAGTCCTGACATTTCCTAATTGTGATTATTTTTGTGCTGTCAGTATAACCAGAGATATCAAGAATTTCGTTCAGATTTCAATTTTATTAAATCAAACCAAAAGTGTCCAATTGGAACGAAATTATTCACCCCCTGTATTATTTACAACGTTAAAAGCAGACTGCATTTTGGAATTGCCAAGAGATATTAAATTTTACTTCTAAATTTAGTTTTACGAATGTATGCCGCAAATGGTTTCAAAATTCAATGACAACCTTTAAGAACATGATCATCAAGAGACGGCTTAAAGGGAGTGTTAGCGAAAAATGAAAGGCGAAAAATAATCGTTTTTGATCGCTACTAATCTTTCTCCTATCTGTTGCGTCTAAAAGGAGAAAATTGTTAAAAACGACTCATACTGAAGAACGTAGCGTCCATACAAATTCAGAAATTTGCAATATACGACTTGGATCATAAAAAAATAACTTAATTTCAAACAAATCATTCGGATATTACAACCTACAGTCATCGATTATTTTTCGACGCATTTGAATGTAGTTAATATTTAATATTTGTTTTGAATACAATGCACATGCTTGGAATGATTACATGTGGCAGAGACACCTAGTGGAAAAAAATCGTTTTTAATGCACTGAATATAAAACAAATAACAAATATTATGAACACACCCTTTAAACATCGTCTTTGATTTCCAACTTTTAATAGTAGTTGTAATTAAAGTGATCTTACTTTTAAAAGAGGGACATGTCAGACTCACATCTGTACCCTTTTAACCTTATCCAGGAAATGTGTCTGATGATATCGTCGTTTTACTAGCTCACTCTTTTTACATTGTTTCTGTGGTAAGAAAGCCTTTTGTTTTGAATTTGATTATTTCTCTTGTCGCTTGCGCAACTATCTAAGAATGCCGCGCACCACTCACATTTTTCGAAATCCGTTAAAACCGTTTTCTAAAAAATAAAATATAAAAAAGTTAATTAATGCATATCTATATATATATTATCTTTGGGTACAGTCGGTCAACCACCGCGCCGTCCCAGTTAAACCATGTGTGTAAGCTGTTTTATCCATGCTTTCATCAATACGTAGAAAAGGCTGCAGAACCTAGATACACTAGAATAGATCGCTATTCGCTAATGCGAGCTGTATTTGGATGAATTGCATTACCCTCTGCTATACATATTGGGTGTCCCACATCAAATTAGACCGCGTCTAAATTACGATTTGGGGGACAAATCAGAAAATTTAAGAAGAATGAATCATTTTGAAAAATTTAATAAGGCTATAGAAATTTTTTTTTGCAGAAAATGCTAGATTTTTTTTGAGTATTTTAGGTGTTAAAGATTGGAGATAATCTAATACAGGGTGTCCCAAAAAACATGGGAATTCAGTGACGAATTCGATATCGTCTTTTCAAATAATTCTTTGATTTAGTATAGTGATACCTACTGAAAAAGCTGTAATATGTAAGAGTTTCGTCTGCTATGTTTACATTTTGTTTGTTTATGTTTTGACTGCAACCGGTTGTACTTAGTAAAACAAGAAAATTACAGTATACAAACAGAGTTAACTTGTCCGTATTCACTATTCATCTTGCGGAGACATTATGGACACATCTTTGCAGTCTTTTACCCTTTTCATTAAATAAACTTTAGCAGACATAATAATATTATGGCTTTTGAAATTAGGTATTACAATGCTAATTCATAACAAAGACGATATCGAATGCGTCACTGAATTCCCATGTTTTTTGGGACACCCTGTATGATATGGGACGCTCTATATAACCTCTGCGGCTGCAGGATGGTAGAGGTTATTGTATACAATGTACAGGTTTAACCCAGGGAACAGGAATATAGGGAAAGGAAATGGCGCTGCAGGTCCGGCAAGAGAAAGCCAGTCGCACTGCTTTGCAGACCAGTACAGTAAACTTACAAACACTCTTCTGGTACAGACACACAACATGACTACAGTCATGGAAATAGTAGAACAATGTCGTCGATTATAATTAAACTTGAATAACGAGTAGTTTATTGTAAACTTTAATCAAATTATATTCTTTGCATAAAAATTTGGATTTACAGTGTTGACTTAAATATGTAAATATATATTAAACTTATTTCTAAGTAAACAATTAACAATAAACAAATGTACTCTCCTAGGCTGTACAAATACCGAGATTCTTACGTACTGTATAAACCTACAGTACACACCTTCGGTACTTTAAACTGACACACACTCTTTTGGTACAGACACACACACATGACGTTTCCGCCCCCTGGTTTAACCTAGAACTTCGGAGGCATCGCAAGAATTCATAGAATGTTGTCTTGACAATTTTTCCATGGGTTTTGTGCTATTATACAGTGAAACCCTTAATAACGAATACATCGGAAGAATTATCAAACGTCGTCTTGATAATTTTTCAATGAGTTTATACTATATTACGTAAATTTCAGTATTTGCGAAAATAAATAAATAGCCATGAATATGCGGGAACAGTTTGAAAGAGTTCCATATAATCATTTAAATAAACAACTAAATAACTGCAACATTCCATTTTCAGAAAGTGAAGAATACGACATTTGATGAATTCTTTCGATGTTTTCGTTATTAAGGGTTTCACTGTACATAAATCTCAGTAATTGTAATAAATAGCAAAATAGCCATAAAATATGCGGGAATTTTTAAAGAGAAATAATTCAATTTAAAAACTAAATAATGTAGCATTTTTTATCAGTTGGTTATGAAAACGACATTTTTATGAGTTCTTTCGAATGCTCCAAAGTTCTGGATTAAGACTTATTAAACTAATGTTGTGGGGTGAATTAGTATGTAGGGTGTAGAAGTTCGTATAGAAGCTCTATCTAAATGTCGTCTTGCATTAACATTTTCTGTGGTCATAGTCTTGAACATGAATTTTAACATGACGAAATTTAAGGGGCCGTTGTGAATCGGCTATGAACTTAAAAATGAAATACTCAATTTTACGTCGACGTTTACTTTAAAAAATTCATTTTTTAACAGCTTTATTAATTTGAAAATAATAAATAAAATGTTAAACTAAAATAATCATTATTATTATTTTAATTATATCTAATACATGTGATGCTAACTTATTTTATAAGATATATGATAAGAATTGTTATTTTCTTTACATCCCAGGTTACTTTCTTCCAGTCGACAGCAGAGACACAGACTGAATCAAATAAGATTAAAATTAAAAGTTTACAAGGCAGATATTTAAAGTCAATTTTTTAAGTAGGAAATATTAAATAAAAAAAATAATGCAATTCTGTTAAAATAATGCTTTCAAACTTTAATTGTTTAATGAAAAAAACCTTTAAATAAAAAGGAAACTTCGAGTTTTTGCCACAAACTCATATATCTTTGCAATTGATGGCACAAACCTTAAATATTTAAAACTAATACTATTTCATCGAACAGAATTTATAGTTTAAAAAGGACTCAATTCTTTTGATTACAAAAAAACTTTGTTTGTCAACAAAGAAAAATACACAATTAAGATATCAAGTGGGACATTTGATCGGCAACACATTTTAAAGTTCATAGTGTAATTTCTAAAACTTCTGTTAAATCTCAATATCCACTGTGGACACTTTTAATTTTCTACTTAAACCTCTCTTTAGGATATCCCTGCTGGATTCCAATCGTTTTCAACGTAATAGATTATTCTCTTAGGCGTAATTACGTGCAGTTACGCGTAATAATTTTCATTTCGTGTAATTTCACAGTATTACGCGTAATTGGGGAAATATCCATTTCGCGAAATTACGGCGTAATTTCGCATAATTTCTACAGCGTAATTTCGCGAAATTTCATAATGATTATGAGTAATAAGCAAAACTATAATTACGCGTAATTACAGTGTAACGGTGTAACAAGAGGAAATGAGAAGAGAGAGGGGGTGGTTGGATGAGCAGGAATGAATAGAAGACGAGGGGGGTAGGTCAGCAGGAAAGATTTGAGATTTGATTACATACTGTCCCGCTATAAATATTTCTGAGAATTAATATGTACTTTATTTATTACGGAATTGTTTCGTATTACGTAATTTCGCGTAATTACACATTAATTACGCGAAACTAGACTTTCTTTCGTAAATGTAATAAACACGCAATTACGCGTGATGCTCCTGCCTAAGTGAAAGAAAGTGTTACTCGTAATTACGCGTAACGTAATTACGACTGGAAACCCTACCGATCAATAAGAGTTCTCTCATTGATTGCGCGAAAAATTTTCCGGGTTCTGATTGGCTGTTTGGTTTCTCAAACAACAAGCTGATTGGTTAAATTTTAGACGCTTTCCTGGATATCAAATAAAAATTTAATTAATCTGCAGATTAAGAAAAAAAGTTGATCAAGCATTGATCCATAATACAAGAATTTCCAGCTCTGGATCTGCAAATAGGGCAGTTGCCTGCAGGAGTTACGCATGCTTGTGGCGTTGAATTGCAAGAAAGAGAGAGATTATTATAAATTTTAGGGTTATGCTACAGGTTAAGACACTTTCTGGACCGAGCGCTGCGACTAGGATAGGCTAGGGGGCCGAGAGCCAGGGCTAGGACAGACTTGGGGGCTGAGAGGCGCGGCTAGAACAGGCTCTCACTCTGTCTTTTAATTTAACGCGGCAAGTGCGCACAACTCCTTTAGGCTTCCGGATCCAAATAGTCTACAATTAAAGCGTATCTTACTGTGAAGTTGTGGTTGATTGCTACACCCCAGAATACAATGTTAAATATAAGGAACATAACAACTTGAAACACCTTGCTCAAAACATTTATTCTAAAATTAAATCTAAGTGTTTACATAATATCATATTTTAGGTTGAAATTAGTAAACTTATGTAAAAATACTTTTTTACAATGTATTTTGGAAAGAATTTGAGTCTTTGCCACAAACTCATATTTTCTAATATTTGCGACCAAATGTCAAACTTACAGAATCTGGATAATTCTTTTGTCTTTATTGATTTCTTTTTATGTCTCTTTTAAAATCTAATAATACTAAGAAATATCAATTCAGGTTTTTAAATTAATTTTATTCACCTGTAAGCCTTAACCCACCCAGGTTCCCAGCCAGGATTTTCTCCAAAGAACGATAATTTTTCATCTTCTTCATCGCTTTCATCTTTGTACTTCTGTTGAGTGAAACGTGGATTGATGGCAAGACCCGTTAAGGAATCTCTTGGGATAGCTGCGTCTAAGAGGACATGGCTGGCCATTATAATGATGTTGATATTGAACGAGTAGAGTAGCCAATAGTCTATCATTTTCAAGTAGGAGGTTTTGGGAACAAGAGTACCAATTGATGACTGAACAGTGGCCACAACATTTAGGATTGTGATAGCAATCATCACACGATCTGAGAAATTTGATAGTTTGAAGTAGAAAGTCACATATGCCACAAAGAGTAAAGCTACAGACTGTACAAAAATAGTGACTAGGTGGTAAATCCAACGCCTTTTAAATACCACATTGAGAATAACTTTTCCGTAGCCGCTTGTTTGATTCACCACAGATTCCATAACTGTATCCCCCACTATATACTCTACCAGTACTCTGTTTCCTAGATAAACTGCACCAAAACATGAGTCACAATCTTTGGGTATTTCAGCGCTCATCGATAAATACTTATCAGGGATGCCATTTACTTCAAACTCCATCTTACAGATTTGAGTATCAAAAGGATACATTGATAGTTCATAGTCACAGTTGAATTCTACATAATATTCTCTCTCCATGATAATAGGTGAATCTTTACCAGGGTAAACAGTGGCTTCCACCGCCCGATTAAATTCATCCGGAATGGGAAATCCTTTCTTTACAACCTTACTAATGGATCCTGTGTCTACAACAGTTCCCTCTGCTTGCCGGGCATTTGGAAATGATAGCGTTGGGGTCCAAATAGATTCAATTAGCTGAGTAGATAAACTATTTAACTCAGCTACATCTCGTAGATTTTCAAATTGCAATCTTGGGTCTGCCCATTTTAGTAAAAGGATAAAATCCACAGTGTAAGAGAGATCTAGAGTATTTATCTTAGGAAATGACAGAATAGTAATGTTTGCTGTAACAAGTATTGGATCTCCTGTGGCGGATATAGGAAATATTTCACTTTTGTAACCTTTTGGGATGGTCAAGATGTTGCAATCTCTTTCATCAGAAGCATCAGGGCAATCGTCAACTAAATCACATCTTTTGTTGATATTTATACAAGTACCATCTGTACATGTGTAATCATAGCCAGTTCCATCATTGAAGATGCAGTTGGAAAGAGTCATCTTATACTTAGCATTGTTGTCTAGTTGACAGATTCCTTGATTGACAAACCATAAGGATCGCCCAGTTGGAAAGTAATCATAAGGATTGGAATCTTCAGCATAGAATTCAGCATATTTGTCCAAATCATAATAGCTTTCAAGTCGCCAAGTTTGCCTTTCAGGTATGAAATATATATGTGATTTGCCCAATCCTCTCCAATGAGGTTTCAAGTTAACAAAACCTTTGAGAAAATAAAACATGTCAAAGAATCCCTCCATGATCTTTGTTTCAGATGCACACAGTCCTCTCATTGATAAGTTCATTGCAATAGGAAAGTGGCATAAAGAGCATAACTTTTCATTACAGTTTGTAACTTGCCATTTTCTGTCATCTCCAGTCTTAGCACAATTCTCACTGGGGTTACCAAACTCTTGGCCAACTTGCCAAAACGAAGCTTCTGTTGGCTCCTTTGAGTAAGGGTTCACCCAAAGATCCTCTTCCCATTGATCAGTTAAACCATTCCAAATGTTTAAACTTCCAGAAGCTAGCAGGCATTTTTCATGAATCTCCCTGTTAACAAGATTTTCAGCAGTATCCATTAAAACATGATAATTTTCATCATTTGTTGGAGATATAATCTGCCCACCCTGATTTAAACACCAAGATGTGTAAAAATGATGTTCATAGGGAAGTGGAAACAAAAAATAATCCTGTTCTGCAGGATCTGCTGATCCACAAAGTTCAAAAAGTGGTACTTTCTTGAGTACAATTTTATTCAGTGTCCACATTTCTTCTTTCCATTCCTGGACATTTCCCAGTAAATCAGTCCTACATTCAGCCACATTCTCGATAAAGAAGTCTTCTAGGGGGAAATCCCACCAATTAAATTGAGAAATAAGCCCAGACCAGGATTGTGTAAGCTGGAAGCCACCACCAAATGAATCCTGATCCTGGCCAAGATAAAGAATCCCTTTTGATCTTAGTAACTCCAATGAATTCTCCCCCGTCCAAGATCCACTATCCACCTTTTCCCCATTTATAAAAACCTTGTAAATATCCTTGTATCCATCATAAGTGACGCAAATATGTGTCCATTCGTAGAATTTTGGTAGTTTGTCATAGTATGCACAGTATTTTGTGCCTCTCTTACATAGGCGGAATGACTCCCGGCCAAGATGATATTCAGCAGACAACTCATTAGCTTCAGCATCACTTTGTGCATACCCAAATATATACATTCTTGGCCTTTGATACCACAATTGAAACCTATGACCATAGATTAATAACAATACAGATAGAGCACTAGAGGTCGTTTTTTTAAGATTTAGGGGTTTTTCTTTCTCAATAATCGTGACTCAGAAGCCCAAAGGAGTTACATGTAGGCTCTCTCTCTCTGTCTTGTATGTAACTCCTTTGAGTTATTGTGAACGAAAAACCCTTAAATCTTAAAAAGATGACATCCAGTGTTCTATCTGTATTGTTATTAATCTATGCCTATGACATATTGTAAAAGATATCTGGTCTTCTTTAACTGTTCCATTGTATAGAGCCCATGTTTCGGCACTTGCATACCCATCCCCTTGGAACTCAAGAACAGGGATCTCATTTGTGTTTGGGTTGATTTCTGGTTGCTGTAAAGCAAATTGTGTGTTTGATATTCTCTGAAGAAAACACCAGATGATGGGAATAAAGAGCTTTTGCTTCCACCCCATTGGAATTCATTTGTGCATCTGAAAAACTGTTATCAAAGAAAAGTAAGCCCATGCAGGAGCATGAAAAGCCAATTATAACTAAAAATACCAGGGGGCGGAAACGTCATGTGTGTGTGTCTGTACCAAAAGAGTGTGTGTTAGTTTAAAGTACCAAAGGTATGTACAGTAGGTTTATACAGTACATACGAATCTAGGTATTTGTACAGTCTAGGAGAGCACATTTGTTTATTGTTAATTGTTTACTAAGAAATAAGTTTAATATGCATGCAATATATTATTTACATATTTAAGTCAACACTATAAGCCAAATTTTCATGCAAAGAATATAATTTGATTAAAGTTTACAACAAATATAGTCGTTATTCACGTTTAATTATAATTGACAACATTGTTCTGCAATTTCCTTGACTGTAATCATGTTGTGTGTCTGTACCAAAAGAGTGTGTGTAAGTTTAATGTACTGGTCTGCAAAGCAGTGCGACTGGCTTTCTCCAGCTCCATTTCTTTTCCCTTTATTCCTATTCCCTGAAAAATACGCATTTACAACAATTATATAAACGACCTAGAAATGTTAAATCTCAATAATTAAAATACAAGAACCTTTAAGGAAAACCAAAGATAAGTGTTAAACATTTTTGTTGAGTTCTTCATTCCTTAAATTGAAATATTTTACAACTTACTTAACTAACTTCAGATTCATTATATTCCAGGTCAATTTGGTTTTATAAAAGACTTTTTAGAAAAAGTTCTGTAAGGTCTTTAATGATCCTAATATATACAAAAAAAATCAATAATTCACTAAATTCCAAAAAATCAAATGAAATATAAATTTTCTATTTCGTATTTTTTTTGAAAAACTAAATTTATCACACAAGTCTGCCGCTTTAGTATTTTGAAATTGGCGGTATACAGTCCAAACTAGGACCACAAAGGTTGACCCAGCTGGGATATAATCAAATGTACACGGGTTGTTAGTGCAATGTGTTGTGCAATGTTTGTTAGAGACTGAATTAAATTATGAGAAAATTGTTTGAATAATTAATAATCTTGAATCATAATATATTTATCTTGTCCTCAATAACAAGCTTTCCTTTCAAACAATGCAATAAATTCTATTTATTGGCAAAATATTTGCACATTTTTTTCATAATTTTGCACATTAATTCATAATTTTTATTTCTAAAAGTTGCTAGTTCATCGTCGAAAAATACTAAAGATCCATCAGCAATTTATATTGAATATAGTGTAAACAATAAATATGTAACTTTCCTTATCCTTTCCTTTTCTTTTTATTTCTATTTTTGTATTTTTTTAAGAATTATTATTATTACAAAGATTTATTCACACACAAAGATATAAATACATATATAAATGGTGTAGTTTAAATTTGTTTAAATAAATATTGGGGGGAAATATTCCCACAACCTCTACTTTTAGAGGTTTTTAAATACTTTCTATTGAAACACTTTATTTTGAATGTTTTTATTATATTTCAAAAATAAATAATTTTTTACTTACTTTATATACCAGATGTTTTTCGCAGAAATGAAATAATAGATAATGAAATAATAGATTGTAATGTGAATAATAAATAATAAAAACATTAACATTAACATCAACAATAGAAAAGAAAACTTTATTATATATTATATTTTACAAGAAGGAATTGTTTATCTGGAAAAAATTTAGGAACATTGAAATGTTTTTTTATTCAATGTCATTGAAAAAAAATTAAAGAACTAATTCTTAAAGTTAAAAATGTTATAAAATAAAACATGCTTATATATAAATATCCTGTATTTTTTTTCAATAAAATTTTTAATTTATTAAAAACATGCTTTCTAAATGCTTTGTGAATTAGAATTGGTCAGCATAGTAACATCAGTTATTTATCGGTAGGATGGATAAGCATAGTAGCATCAGTCGATGTATAGGTCGGATGGTTCAGCATAGTAGCATCAGTTATTGTGTAGGAGGATGGGTCAGCATAGCAGCAATAGCTGTTGTGTAGGACAGGTCAGCATAGTAGCATCAGTTATTGTGTAGGTTAGGATGGGTCAACATTTTAGCATGAGTAGTTGTGTAGGTTAAGATGGGTCAGCATATTAGAATCAGTAGTTGTGTAGGTTAGGATGGGTCAGCATATTAGCCTCAGTAGTTGTGTAGGTTAGGATGGGTCAACATGGCAGCATCAGATGCTAGATCCAAAGCATTCATTTCCTCCATTATCATTGCTACAATACTTTCTAAAAATATAATAATATTCACTTTCAATTCATTTTGTTTTTAGGATAATATTTAGTGAAAAAATAAATTAAAATTAGGGAAGTTTTTATATTCATCGATCTATTACACACTGATTTAACAGTTAGGTCCTTTTTTAATTTTTGTCATTTATATTTTTTGTTTGCAGATTTTTTATTAAAGAAAAGAATGAAATGACAACCCTGCAAATTTAAAGATTTTGACTCCAAGAACAAAACACGATTGAGTACATATTGATGGTAGTGATGTGCCTTCAGTTGGTTCGTTTTTGGGTCGTTTTTTGTCCATATTTTTTCCCGGGTCAAAATTTAGTAAAAGAAAAGAAATTAAATTTTCAAATGTTTTTTTTCTAAATATGTGTTTATCTTACATAATGTCAAATTTTGAACCTTGCAAAAGTTTTGTGCAAAAACATACCGAAAAACGACCAAAAATCGATGCAAAAACGAATATGTCGTAACGATCGTTTAGAAATCGTTTGTGCATTGTTTTTTAGGTTAGATATCGCAAAGTTAAATAAAACAAACTTTAACATAATACAGTTTTGGCATCTTTAAAGTTTTATTTAACTGGACCCATACAACTATGGAAAAGGGAAACAACTATGAGACTAAAGTATTAATTCTAAATGGTCTAATAAACATGAAACACAATAATTGTGCAACATTTACAATTTGGAGAAAGGAATTGAGTTTTTGCCACAAACTCAGATTTTCTAATTTGTAAGGAATTGTGCAGTTTTGTGCAAAAGTATAACTTTTTAAACCCGGTGCAATATTGCACAATCGGATCAACCTGTTCAACTGCTTACAGATCTCAAACCTGTAAGAACTGGATTATAGATTCCAAAATCTAATGGATTCAATTCGGGTGTATTCTTTTTACGGAACTCCGCATTTCCTGAATAAATAATATTTTAATAAATAGTTTTAATCAATTGCCTTTAATAGTGCAACTAAAGGTTAAACATTATTTGGGGGGGGGGGAGCTAAATTTAAAAAGACAGTTTGAAAATCGAGAAATTTTAACTTGAATATTGGGACTAACATTGTCAGATGAATTCTCTTATTGTCAAGATTGACGCGAAACATACAAACGTTTGTTTCCAATGAGATTGAAGACGACATTTAAGTTAAAGTACATTGGTTCCTTACTTGTCCGAGGTCCTGATTGGGTTTTGTACACTTGATCACATAGCTCATCAGAACCAGCCTGGACATGGAAATTGTACAATTGAAGTACAAGTACACTACATTGTACTTCAACGTACACTGTACTACAGTGTAAAAATGACCAGCACATGTACACAGTACATCTGTGTACAAATAAAGTGCATATGTACACTGTACTACTAGAAAAATTATAATAGATTGTTTATGCAGACTATAAAGCTGAAAATTGTACAACCCCTTGTACATCATGAACTCGTCATACAAAAAAGGTCAATAAATACGTTTACTTCTCGGAGTCAATCTGTGGAAAACAATTTTTAACTGATCAGAGCTGGGAACTTTAGAATGAATAAACTTTAATCCTGACTTCTTGATCCGAATATCCACTGTGGAAACTTTTCATTTTAGTCCTTAATCCACTCTTTTTCTCTCTCCTTGGATATCCGTTAATTGTTTTCTCCAATGAGAATATTTCTGTTCTCTCATTGCTTGCCTGCTTTTCTCTGATTGGCTGCTACAGGTGATTAAATATTAATTTGAATTTTATCGTTTTTCATACATTTTTAAGATAATCTTGCAAGATTATGTTAATCTTGAGATTATCAAAAAGAGAGGATCAAGCATTATCCCGATATCCACCATTCTAAAGTTTTCAGCTCAGTATAATCTTGTCATTCTGAATTGTGTGTATTACTGGTTCTCGAAACAAAACAAAACGCGCTCTACAGGTCTACTTGGCAAAACAAATTTTATTCAATGTAATGTACTGTATGTTTTCAATTACAGCTGAAACACTATGGTGAAGACGACATGAGCTATCTAGTCTAATTTATCTAGGACTGCACTATACAAAGACAAAAATGTTAAAGAGTATCGTTAAACGAAAATCCCGAGTTTCCTTATTGGCGTTTTAATATTTGTGTAGATTTTGATTTAGGAGATTCAAAAAAATGGAGAATATGAAGAAACTAAATAAAACAGTATTTTATAACAAAAATATTGATATCCACAAAGCTACCTAATCCTATTTGTGAAACCTGGGTTCCAAAACTGGTTTTCATAACGATACCCTGTCTTAAGTTTTGGGCTCAGTGTAAAAATGTAAAGTAGAGAACTTAGACAGGGATGTGAAATTGTGAAACATTTGTAAACTGTTAATGTAAAATTAATATATGAAGTTTCCGTTTTAATATTATGTTGAAATCTTTTTGAAGACGACATTTACAACAGTGATAGATTTATTATTAAGGGATATGGCGATCTGACGAGGACATTTTTAGCCAAACAGAGAGAAGGTTTTTAAATTTTGCCTTTATTCTTGAGAAAATAAATGGCTTATTAACATTGTCAAACTTGAATGTATTTTGATGTACGTATACTACATGTGGGTGTCCCACATCATATTAGATCGTGTATAGCTCAAAATTGTGATTTTAGAGGGAGTAATAAGAAAATTAAAAACCAATGTATCATTTTTTAAAAATGTAAATGGTTTCTATAAAAGACTTCTTGCAGGAAATTCAATATTTTTCGAGTATTATGTGCGTATTTGACGTTAAAGCTTGGAGATAATCTAATTTTATATGAGACGCTCTGTACAAGAACAAATTAATATAATCTTGATTTTTTCAAAGGAAAAAATTACAATGTTTGAGTAAAAGAGAAGATTTAAAGATTTCCTGTAAACTTCTAAAATGTGGATTAATATCCTGTATTGGGCTGGACCTACCGCTCTACCCAGGTTAGCAGATGTAAATATTTTCTGCAGATTTGAAAACCTTTCAGCTCCAGGTTCAAGCACAAACAGTCTACGTATTATCTGAAAAATCACATTTTTCAAATTTTAGTTCACAAAAAAAGAATTTGAACATATACTATAACTGTTAGGTGCAGAAAAGTCGTATTTAGTAAAGTTTATTTTTAATTTTATTTATTTTCTAAAGTAAAGTATTTAGGTTGTTGTAAATCTTAAAATTAAAAAGTTAAAAATTCTCACACAAAAAATATGCTTCAATATTTTCTCTTGGATATTTTTTAACAGCAAGAGGAAACAATAAAAGATACAAATACTTCTGTTAAAAATTGGTTTTCGTTTACCGTTTTACCAAGAATTTCGGACAAACATCGGGCATTTTCTTGCTTTTTGATTCTTTACAAATCCCTGAATATTAAATACCTGTAGATAAGTCTCTATCTGATCCTGTTCAGGAGAATGCACTTGGTGTTCAAATATAATGGTCAACTCATCCAGGTCTGGCAGGTCACCGGACGGAAACAGGTCGGAGACCTGCAAATATACCAGTAAAATGACAGGTCCGGCAGGTCAGCGGACAGAGACAGTTCGGAGACCTGCAAATTTACCAGTAAAATGGCAGGTCTTGCAAGTCACCTGATGGAAGAAGGTCGGGGACCTGCAAATATACCAGTAAAATGACAGGTCCGGAATGTCACTGGACGGAAACAGGTCGGAGACCTACAAATATACCAGTAAAATGACATGTCCGACAGGTCACCGGACAGAAACAGGTCGGAGACCCTCAAATATACCAGTAAAATAACAGGGCCAGCTGGTCACCGAACTGAAACAGGTCGGAGACCTGCAAACATACCAGTAAAATGACAGGGCCAGCAGGTCACTGAACTGAAACAGGTCGGAGACCTGCAAAATTACCAGTAAATTGACAGGACCGGCAGGTCACCTGACAAAAACAGGTTGGAGACCTGTAAATATACCAGTAAAATTACAAGAACGGCCGGTCACCAGACGAAAACAGGTAAACAGACCCAGTTCAGTTGAAACGTTGATGTTTCAGCTGCTGGTTAAACTATTTGCCTAGTAACAACAAATTACTTTATATGGTCTTCCTAATCAACAGTTTTTTTTGGTACCACAGTACAACAATTAAAATGATCGTGATGAAAGATGATCTAAATGTAAACTCATGTTTAGTTGTAGCACACATAATAAACACCAGGCTCGAATATTTTTAGAAGACGACAATCTATAAGTCCATTGAAGCCAAGAGGATACATATTTGTACAATTAAGATACATTAGTACACCTTGCAATACAAATTTGTTTCATTTTATAACGTAAATGTTTCCCCAACTCGCATAGTTTAACTGTAATGCTTACCCCACCTCGCAGGAATAATTTTAAATACATTTTAAATGTCGTCTTTATATTTCTGATATTCTCTCAGCCTAGTGTTTGTTCTGTCTGGATGATGTGAGCATAGTATACCTCTGGTATCTGTGCTACTAGAATATCTAGTTTCTCCTGGTTTGTATAAATATCATACATCTGTACCCAGTCCAACTTTTCACCTTCTTCTGAATACCTTCAATATTATCATGATAATAATAATAAAGATAATAATAATACTTATGCCAGAATTCTGTAAGTGCTGTGTAAAACTTCAACATTTGGAGAAACCCCCTGTTTTGGGATAATAAAGACCTGAAAAATAGAAAAATTTAATAACCTTTAAAAAGTTTACTATTTTACTAGCTTGGAAACCCAGCTCTGTCTGGAAACTTTATGTTTTTTTCGTTATAGGCGATTTACCTAATTTAAAGTTTTAAACTCAAGCTAAAATCACTCCTTTGGTTCTATCTATTTATCTAATAAAACTTTGAGGCAAATCAGTCAAGGTGTTCTTGAGTTATGATCGGACACACAAATAAACAGACACAGACAAGTAAAGATTACTACTTTTCATATATTATTTTACAAAATGATTTTAAAATGTATACCTTGAATGTTTACAAACAAAGTTTGGTGTACTGCTCATGTCTAAAGATCGATCAAGAATATAAGCTAGAGAATAAACTTGTAGCAATCTTGTGTCTCTTTCTAATAAAAGAACAAACATAATTAATCAATAATCAAACATAATTAATCAATAATCAAACATAAATACTTCTGAATTTGTTTATGATTTTTGTTGTTGCTTAAAATTAGTAATACCTGTGGATTTCAACTTGGGCTCTGAGTTCCATTGATTCACCAAAAATCCTTCTTTCCCAAGCAATCTAATGAATTGTTCAAGAAGACTATAAATTATTTTTAAGGAGACTTATAAAGCAATATGGTTCAAGGAGACTAATATAGCAATATTGTTCAATGAGACTAATATTGCAATATTGTTCAAGGAGACTAATAAAGCAATATTGTTCAAGGAGACTAATATAGCAATATTGTTCAAGGAGACTAATATAGCAATATTGTTCAAGGAGACTAATATAGCAATATTGTTCAAGGAGACTAATATAGTCAATGAGACTAATATAGCAATATTGTTCAAGGAGACTAATATAGCAATATTGTTCAAGGAGATTAATATAGCAATATTGTTCAAGGAGAGTAATATAGCAATATTGTTCAAGGAGACTAATATAGCAATATTGTTCAAGAAGACTATAAACGTACAATTATTTTTAAGGAGACTAATAAAGCAATATTGTTCAAGGTGACTAATATAGCAGTATTGTTCAAGGAGACTAATATAGCAATATTGTTCAAGAAGACTATAAACGTACAATTATTTTTAAGGAGACTAATAAAGCAATATTGTTCAAGGAGACTAATATAGCAGTATTGTTCAATGAGACTAATATAGCAATATTGTTCAATGAGACTAATATAGCAATATTGTTCAATGAGACTAATATAGCAATATTGTTCAAGGAGACTAATATAGCAATATTGTTCAAGGAGACTAATATAGCATTATTGTTCACGGAGACTAATATAGCAATATTGTTTAAGTAAGCTTATCCAGCAATAATGTTCAAGAAGGCTTATCTAGCAATATTGTTCAAGTAGTCTTATCTAGCAATAATGTTTAAGAAGGCTTATCTAGCAATATTGTTTAAGTAAGCTTATTCAGCAATAATGTTCAAGAAGGCTTATCTAGCAATATTGTTCAAGTAGTCTTATCTAGCAATAATGTTTAAGAAGGCTTATCCAGCAATAATGTTTAAGAAGGCTTATCTAGCAATGATGTTTAAGAAGGCTTATCTAGCAATAATGTTTAAGAAGGCTTATCTAGCAATAATGTTTAAGAAGGCTTAACTAGCAATATTGTTTTAGAAGGTTTATCTAGCAATATTGTTCAAGAAGACTAATAAAGCAAGAAACTTTCAGAAAATACTAGAAATTTCATTTTATGTTAATAATATATGGGATATTTGAAAATATCGCCGTCTAAAAATAAAATAGGAGAGGGTTGAGTGCTTAAGTTTTTTGCTTATGATATGAATTTTTTTATAAAGCTTATTGTTGCTGTTCCCAATTTTGCCAAAAAGTTTAATTGTTTTTCATTTTAAACTTAATGTGCTTATCAAAATTGGTAAAACAAAAAGTTTTGTAAACATCGTAAAAATTTTACAGATTTGAACAATGAAGAGAATTAAGATTACCTTAGTTTTTGTAAAAAATATATTTTTTTTCAAATTTATGTAATAATATATATTTTAGTTTGCAAATTTATGTAAAAAAATATTTTTGTATGCATATTTATGTAAACAATATTTTTGTTCGCAAATTTATGTAAAAATATATTTTTGTTTGCAAATTTATGTAAAAATATATATTTGTTCGCAAATTTATGTAAAAATATATTTTTGTTCGCAAATTAATGTAAAAATATATTTTTGTTTGCAAATTAATGTAAAACTATATGGTTTACCTGGCTGAATTTACGGACCCAGTACAGAATATCGTCAATAAAAGTAGCAGTGTCATTTTGATCTAAAATACAAAGGATTTTATTATAAGTACTAATAAAATAATCTGAGTATTTGTCCCAAACTCAGATTTTCTCATTTATTTATCTTTGCAACCCGATGTTGCAAACCTTTGATATTTAAAACTATAAAATTTGTCAGATGAAAGATATAGGGATCAGAAGATTAGGGTTTTTGGCTAGATGATATTGATCTTAACCCTATCCTTTAAAAATCAGGATACGCTGATGTCCAAATATGAAAAATCATACATTGGAAAGCTATTATGCTCTACTTATAGAATTTGCAAATTGATTTTTTTTGGCAAAATCAAGTGTTAAAGTAAAAATGTTTGCAAAAAATATGCAAAAAATGATAATATATACATTTTTGAAAAGCCCTCGACCATGCCATTTCAGATATGCAAAATGTTGTATGCAACAAATTTGCAAAAATTTCTTTGAGAAATTTGTGCAATTCCTCATGTGAAAGACTTTCTAAAAAGCTAAAAATGATCAAAATCTGACAACTGAAAGTGGGTCAAAACAAAGATTTAGTTTGCTAGAGGAAAAAAATGGCATTCAGGAAGTGTGTCTGAGGAATCAGGCAGAGGGTTAAGGGTTGAATTGACCTTTTCTCATTTATTTTATTAGTAAACCAACCCTGTATATCAGTATTTCATTTGTTCAACCAAATTTTTAAAAAAGACGACATTTGTGAATTATTTAAAAAGAAGACGACATTTGTAAACTAAAAAGAAGACGACGTTTGTATGATATTTAAAAAGAAGACGACATTTTTATACTATTTAAAAAGACGATGACATTTGTAAACTAAACTCTGAACTTTTGGTCTTGGATGAAGCATTGATCTGTGAACTCTGACAAGCACTTTTTAACGTAAGTGTTATATTTCTTTTATATATTTAAACATTTAAAATAGAATCTTAGAAGTTTAATCCTATATTCTTTATACCATTTTAACCAGTAAACTTTTGGTTTGTAATCTATAGTTATTCATCTGACGCCCAATTATGCCAAGTTTAAATATAAAAAAGCTCATTCTACTGTTTATCATGAAAAATTAACAAAAATTGCTGCTGATAAATAGCCTAAGTTTCCAAAGTTTACATTATCAGGTTGCAAATATAAGGGGATTAGAAAATTACAGTTTGAAGTGTTTATTTCCTTTGCACTGGACAATGGCTTTGTACATGTTCATCAAACCAGAGACCGAGTTAAAGGAATTTGAACCGTTCATAGACTAGGTTCAATCGTGAGACACGGTTCAAACGGAGCACGATCATTTGCTATCTACTCACTTGCAATCAGCCTCATTTACTATCATCCTCACTTGCTGTCTACTCACTTGCAATCAGCCTCATTTGCTATCAGGCCTCCCTTGCTATCTACTCACTTGCAATCAGCCTCATTTGCTATCAGGCCTCCCTTGCTTAAACCAGTTCTTATTTGCTATTATAAACTTGTTGCTTTCTCAATAAGTTGCTATCAAAACCAGTTTTTTCTTGCCATAAATAAGTTGCTTTCTCAATAAGTTGCTATCCAAGCCTGTTCGTTGGATTCCTTTTGTAGAACAGCTACGCGCTTTGCATCCGTTCCTGTATTTCTGGCACCTGTAGGTGGTCTGTGTATTGCATGCCTTGTCTTTGTAGTGTAAATACAGGTAGTTATTATTATCTTTCAAAAGGTTGATATCTTTACTTGAGCCGGTTCCATGCCCACACAAAGTTTGCCAGATAATGAATAATTCCAAATGTTGAGAAATTTTTCCATTTTTTGCAGATTTTTAGGAAAAAAAGTGATAAAATAAGGATTGAGAGGAAGTCGAAAATTTGATAGCAAATGATGATCAATAGCAAAATTATTGATTGCAACTGAGGATTGATAGCAAATTAGCCTGAGAGCAAGTTTGGCTTAATAGCAAATGTGTCGATAGTGCAGCTGAGGCCGAATAGCAAATGAGGCTTGATAGCAAATAAATGTGATCGCAACTGAGTTGATAGTAAATTAGTTTAATATCAAATGTTTGGATAGAAAGTGAGGCTGATAGCAAGTGATTTTGATTGCAAGTGAGTTAATAGAAAATGATTGTGATCCGTTCAAACATAGTTGGTTCAACGTAAAATTTTAATCAGTGTTTTAAGATTTGAGCCAGCGCGCAATTTGAGTCGGTGGTTGACGGTTCAGCGACGTGGTTCAAATTCATTAAATTCTTCCTCAGTTCTATGGATCTCACATCATTCCGGAGACCACTGTGCATAGAATAAGTTTGAGCAAATATTTATCTTCATATCACAGTCAGTAACATGGACGAACTGATGATAAACAACAAGAAGAAAATGAAAACAACAAAATAGTTTAAACAAAACAACAAGGGGGAGAGGTTTTCCTAATTAGGTTTTTTGAGAAATATTATACTAGCTGCAAACCACAGCTTTGTCTGGATACTAAACAACAGTCAACCCAGTCAACTTAGAAATTTCGAACCCTAATCAAAATTTGAGGCAAATCGGTCAATGGGTTCATGAGTTATGGTCGGATTTACAAACAAACAGAAAATACTACTTTAGGCTTGTATTCTAGTAACAATTCTAGCTTTTAAATGTTGAATTTCAAGCTGACATTTTTTCCTTGTATATCGGGGCACTTTTTTTAGTTTACGGATAAAAAAAATTAAATCGCCTTTTTTTCTTTTTCAATTTCGACCGACGAAAAACCTTCCTGAGTGCCATGTGAGATATTTAACAAACAAAAATATCCCTGATCGGTTCATGGCCATTTTGACGTTTATTAGTTACCTACTGTAAAGGGTTTTCCACAGTGTGCTTAAAAGACCTCTAAGAGATAAGAAAAATCCCATGTTCTTTACCCTGAAAATTTCTATACCCTTTAATCTTAAACCTTTCCCCTTATTCTTACCCTGAACCTTTCTATATCCATTATTTTAAACCTTTCCTCTTTTCTTTATCCTTAATCTTTCTATACCCATTATTTTAGACCTTTCCCCTTATCCTTTCTATATCCCTTACTCTAGACCTTTCCCCGTACCCTTTCTATACCCCTTACTCTAGACCTTTCCCCTTATCCTTTATCCGGAAACTTTCAATACCCTTCGCTCAAGACCGTTCCCCTTATCCTTTACTTCGAACACTTCCTTTATGTTTACTCCTACCCTATCTTTTTTTTTTAACTTTTTTGCTTGTTATTCTTCTAGTTCTGATTCTTTGGGGGTTAAGTTTTGTTGGTTAAAAATCTTTAAAACGCATATTAATTTTTATATTTTAATTTTTAGAGTAAATTGTGAAATAGGATTTTAAAGGAAAAAGAAAAGAGTGTGAGTAAAGGATAAAGCAAAATCTAAAGTAAAGGACAAGGAAATACTTATATATTATTATATATATAAAAGGAAATTTAAAGAGTGAGAGATTTTTAAGTGTTCAAAGTAAAGAATAAGTAACGGTTAGAGAGTGAACGATAAGGAAAGGTTTTGAATAAAAGATAAGGAAATAAGGTTATATTGAAGAATAAGTAAAGGTTTAGAGAGTAAAGGATAAGGAAAGGTTTAGAGAGTAAAGTATAAAGAAAGGTTTTGAGTCAAGGATAAGGAAAATATTATAAATATTAGAAATAGAAGAGTTCAGAGTAAAGATAAAGAAAGGTTAAAGAAAGTTTAAAGTAAAGTATAAAGATAGGTTTAGAGTAAAGGATAAGAAAGGGTTTAGTTCAAGGATAGATCATGTTTATGGAAAGGAAGGTTTAGGAGAAAAAGATAATGGAGAGTTTTGAGAAAATAACCAAGAGTAAATACAACTTCACAATTTTTCCATATCTTTTTCTCTTAATGCTTTCTTAAACCTCTACTCCTGAATCTTTGATTATCCTTCACTCCCAAACCTACCCTCGTCCTTTACTCTAAACAGTTCCACATCTTTTAACCTTGACCTATCCTATATTTTTACTCTAAACCCAGTCTCATCCTTTAGGGTTCATAGTAAAGGTTAGCTAAAAGTTTAGTTTTATGAGAATGGAAAGGACTAGAGTAAAGAAGAAAGGGAAAGATATAGAGTAAAGGGTATGGAAAGGACTAGAGTAAAGAAGAAAGTGAAAGGTATAGAGTAAAGGGTATGGAAAGGCCTAGAGTAAAGAAGAAAGGGAAAGGTATAGAGTAAAGGGTATGGAAAGGCCTAGAGTAAAGAAGAAAGGGAAAGGTATAGAGTAAAGGGTATGGAAAGGCCTAGAGTAAAGAAGAAAGGGAAAGGTATAGAGTAAAGGGTATGGAAAGGACTAGAGTAAAGAAGAAAGGGAAAGGTATAGAGTAAAGGGTATGGAAAGGACTAGAGTACTGACATATGGCATAATCTTCGTCTTGATGAGCTCTTTCAGAATCTTAAAAAAAGTTACTTGGGATTTTTCTTCTCTCTTAGAGGTCTTTCAAGCACACTCTGTTCCACTTTCCGCATCATAATGAGATCGTGCATTTCTTCAAATAGGATTTTTGGAATTATTTCTAAAGATTATTTCTTAAACATTAAGATACGGCTAATTTTGTAAATATCATTCAAACAGCTGTGTTAGCTCAATCCTTTTGCTACTCGAAAAAGGTGATATAATTTAGTGTTAAAATTGTAAATGAATAAATATTTATAGGTTTTTTTTTGTCTGAAAGTTTTGTAAATCTCTACAATATTTAGCAAAAAAAAGTTATTATTACTATATAACATTGTTATTATTGCATTCTTTTTAAACTCTGTTCTATTTTGACGTTAAAACTTGGGAGTTAACTTTTAACGATGTTATTTTAGAGGCCAACCTTTCAAACCCCTTATAATTAGTTTGTAATAATAAACTTAAAAAACCATTTAAATGATTAGGAAACTTCCTTCAAAATTAGAAACAGAATGTTATAATTATAAAAATGTGTGAGATTTTCCTTAAATTCGAAATAATTTTGGTTCGTAGATTCGAATGCTTTTATTAGTTTGATCAATACACATACAACGAAGACAATGTTAGGGTAAGGTACTAAAATGAGTCATCAGAGACGACATTTCAAATTTATTCAGATTCTCATTGTCACATGTGGATGTTCTTACATTGCCATTAAACTCAAAACATAGTTTTTTCTTTAGAAAGAAAGAAGTATATCATGTGTTTACTTTTTTCATGAGATAAAGAAGCAAAATTAAATCTTGAAATTGTTTTTGAATTGAATTTTTTTTATAACATCTTATATTAGTTGGGGCTAGACAGCACACTCCTCTGCTGCTTTAGTATTTGTAAATTGACGGTACAGTCCAAAGTAGGACTGCAAAGGTTGACCCAGCTCGGATTTTCAATCTACCGGTGGAACGTGACAGGGGAAGCTAAAATTTAAGCGACTTTGTAACCTCGTAGCTCCTCTAGTTCTGATTTTTTCGCACAAATGTGACAACAGACAATTTATTTTGGGATACCTATCTCTTTAGTTTGATGTGTTCTGCATATTCAGGAGTTAAACAGGCTTCTTGTTCTTACTCATTTAAACATTGTATCCTCCTAAATGTGTTGAGCCCATAAATCTTTTCTTTAAACCCTGCTCACCAGCAAAATATAAAATATAGAAAACAAGAAAACTTTTAATATTATTTAACAATATCTATTCTGGTTATCGGCCTATCTATCTATCTTTCTATCTATGTATATATCTGTTTATCTTTCTATCTATGTATCTATCTGTCTATCTTTCTATCTGTCTATCTATCTGTCTATATATCTATCGTTTTATCTATGTATCTATCTGTCTATATATCTATCTATCTGTTATCTGTCTCTTTTTATATCTCTGTCATTGCATCTATGCTAGAAAAAGTATACAGAAAACTCTGAAATAAGAAGACGTCCTTTAGACTCTAGTTATGAGTTTAAATAGTCCAAAAACCATGTGACACAGCAATTGTGCAGTGTAAAAAGACCCATTTTACTTAATTAGTGATTTAAAAAGTGTCCAGTAAAACAATTTGCTTTGTAACAACATCAAATATGCACTTAATTTTTGCTGTAAATTCTTTCTATCTCACTGCAGTTTGGAAAATGTATGTATCCTCTCCCCGCTTGTTTCGTATCTTCGTCGCATAATTACTCTTTCTATTATCTTTTAATATGGTTTTGTCCATCTTTAATATTTCATGAACTATGAATTCTACTAAATGGAATAGTAAAATTTTATAAATATAAAAGATTTATCTCATCAGGTTGACAGAATATAAGGATTTGACAGTTAGATGCTAAGGCGATTGAAAGGTGTCTCTCTAACCCTGGGTAAATATGACTTTTTTCTTCAAAACTTGTTAAATTAAGCTTCCAAACAAACATAATGAATTATTTTTTTTGATTTAAAAAAAGGTCAGCACAAGCACTTTTAAAAATCAGCAATCACTTGGGAAGGTCGATTTTTCATTTTTTCGAAACATGTCTATTGCCCAGTTGTTGCTTTTTTTATATTGTGAAAATTGGTTGATCAAAAAACTATTATTTTGGGAGGACTCTGGCAAATTTCCGCTAAGTAGTCCATTTGTGCCTTTATCTTATTCAATTTTTAACAGATGTTTATGATTTTATCATTATTAAATTCAGTGTTTCAAGACTAATGTTTTTGGTTCCCATATCGACATATTTAAAAAAAAAATGTTGCTAGCAACTGAATTTTTACAAAAACGTAATGCGCTGCAGGAATTTGAAAGTGAGACATTTTTTACATTTTTGCTTTGCTTTTTATTATAGAAACTTGCAAGACACAAGCTGAAAGGATCTGAACATTTTTACCACCCTTAGTTTAATTAATTAAAAGAACTGAGATGGAATTTAAAGAAATTGAGCCGCGGTTTAAATCCGCCAAAATCCGCAAAAACCCGGTTTAAATTTAGCGCCGGCTTAAATCTTGAAACATTTAATACAATTTTAAGTGGAACCAACCATATTTAAGCCGCGGCTTAAATTTGAACCGCCGCTTAAATTCTTTAAATTCGGTCACTGCAATTTTAAATGACCCTTTTGTCTGAGTGGCATACGTGACACTCTTTAAATTAATGGTCACTCGAAATGTTGTCTAAAGTCCCTTTAAACGAAGGTACAATGATCAAAAAGTGTTTTTTTTATTTTACGTTCGAAATATGTTGATTATTCGAACCGAAGTAAGTTTTCTTGAAGTTTCTTGAAGTTTCCAAACATGAATTCAAATTGATTTCCTTGTTTTCATTAAGTTTGGCGAAAATCCATCAAAATTTTAAAATCCAAAGGGAAACTTAAACATTTTAGAAAACATCCTAACATAGAGGTTTAGATTAATATGACGGAGAATATTTAACGAAAAACTTAAGGAACATAAATGGGGGTTTAAACATTTAGAATTTAGAAAAGTTGAGCCATTTATTAACTTTTTCGGATTTAAATGTTGATCAAATCTACGAGATTAATTGAAAACCTTGAAAAAAGAGCATTAAATAATGGATAATGTTAAAGCGGGTCAGATATATTGGTAGGTTTAATTATTAAAAGAGTAAACTACACAATATCAATAACACCTTCAGGTGTTATTGATATTTTATATGATTTAGAATTGTTGCAAATCTTGGGATCAATTATTGATCTTCCTTATGCAGGTCTCAATCTCTCAAAAATCCGATTACAAACATGTCTGCATAGACCCTTATGTGCTAACGGAGATTATCTTTATTCCTACCAAATTTACTTACTCTTACTTTAGGAGCCTTTAAATTTGCCATTTTTAGATCTACAAGCCTTAAATTGGAATCATTGATTTGTAGAATTAAAAAATTGTCTCAATCTTGAAAATTCGATTACAAACGAGTTTGTAGACCCTTGTTCCCCGCTTTTTTTTAGTAATCTCTGATTGTGTGTCTCTGTTTGTTTGTCAGATCATAACTCAGGAACCCCCGGACCAATCTGCCTCAAATTTATCGCTGGGTTCCCAAGCTAGTATACTATATATATATATATATCTAAAGGGTTTACTGTATGTATAGTGTATATAGTGTATAGAGTATATAGTATACTATATATATATATATATATATATTTTTATCGCTGGGTTCCCAAGCTAGTATACTATATATATATATATATCTAAAGGGTGTACTGTATGTATAGTGTATATAGTGTATAGAGTATATAGTATACTATATATATATATATATATATATCTAAAGGGTGTACTGTATGTATAGTGTATATAGTGTATAGAGTATATAGTATACTATATATATATATAGTATACTGTATGTATAGTGTATATAGTGTATAGAGTATATAGTATACTATATATATATATATATATATCTAAAGGATGTACTGTATGTATAGTGTATATAGTGTAGTGTGGTGGGGTCTTCATTTATATTCTATCCTTGCTCCAAGAAAGATTAGAACTGAATCCCTGCGATACATGGGAACAATTAGAATAGAACTTAAGCATTATAAACTATCACATGAAGACATAAAAATACTTCCCAAGTATATCTTACAGAGATAAAGGAACCTTCGACGTTATTTAAAGTGACCCTGCATATAAAGATTTACAACGGTTTCCTTTAAATGTTTCTCTTAGTAACAATGAGGCAAATATTAAACGATTAATTCTATCAATTTCCTTCATTATTTTGAGAAACTAAAATAAGAACAATTAATTTGAGATGAAAAAATAATGGTTTCGAATCTATCCATGTTTAGTTAGATGGTCACTTGATATTATGTTGTTTGTCCCTTTTAGTTTAACTGAACACAACGTGATATTTCGCATGTATAAACTAGAATAGCAAAGATAGAATCTGCAAATGTGCAAACTATTTGCAATCTTTGCTGCAGAGTATATTCATAATTTATCATTTTTCACCTTTATAACTTGTCTAACAACCTTTCAAGATATTCTTTTTAAACCATTTATTTATTTAAACATGAATGAAATAAACCAATAATCACGTTTTGATGTAATTTAAAATAAATTTTATTTTTGATTATCTAATCATTAAAAGATTTTAAATTTTGACTGACAGTTTTTTTTTCTCCAGTTTTCAAAAAACATATGAAACATGTAGAAAATTATTTAAAAATGTAATTTTTTTTTTCATTTTGTTCACCAGATAAAGAACTGGCGTCTTGATCAACACAGCCATACACAGGCACTAAATTGCATAGGGGGGGGGGGGTGTCCAGATTTTTTTTTTCGCAAATGTTTAGAATAAGCAATATTTAAGATTTCTCGAACCATTAAAAATTCCAAACCCCTTCAAATTGCCCCAATCATTGAATGATCTGAGCCTGTACGAAATGTACTAAATATGCATTCTGTTTTACTATCCAGTCTGGACTACCCAGTGTAGAGTCGACCCAGAACGTTGTATTCAACAAATGTAGCTAATGTGTTGACTTTATATTCATATTTTAATAATAAAACAAACACATCTATGGCCATCTCTAAATAAAGCTTGGAAACAAGATGCAAGATGAAGTTGCATTTTTTCCTCCTTTATTAATGATTGTAGAAAGATATTTTTAAATGTGAGTATATAAAGGCTGAGTGCTGAAACCAGTTCAACGTCAGTTTACTATTAAAGTTCAAGATGAAAACACAGGTTTATTTCTTGAACTAAATTCTGTCAATTTCTCAATTGTCTTTGAAATTTTAAAACCGACATATGAAAATCATCAACTTGAAGAACAAAAAACAATGTTTAAACAAAGGGTACCGTTGTGAATTGGTAAAGTAGTTAATTTTATTGTAGTTTTTGGCATGTAATTAAGTAACACTTCCTTCTTTTACCCGACTAAACCTATATTTAGATCTACTTCCGGTTATTGGATTTAGACCTACTTCCGGTTATTGGATTTAGATCTACTTCCGGTAATTGGATTTCGACTTTTGATAGCTCTTTTAAAAGCTTTGGACGTAAGGAAGTGGATTAAACTATTTTTGCGAAGAAATTTTGCATATGTATTTTCACAGAAGCCTTTAAAAAAAATTTGCAGATTTTTAGTGTTCCTTAAATACAAATTTAGTTTTTAAAATTTTGCAAATATTTTTGCATATTTGAATTCACCGTGATAAGGGTTTTTCAAAAATGTATGAATTATCATATTTTGTCTATTTTTTGTTTTTGCACATTATTGTTAATAACTTAATATTGCAATAAATATTTGAAATTTAGCAAATTTGCAATTATTCTTTGCAAATTATTGAATTGGAGCCCAATGGCTTTCCAAAAACTGTTATAAAAATGTATCACAATAAGGAAATAGAGGGGGGGGGGTCCCTGGGACCCCACTCCCCAGACTATTTTGGGTAAACCAGGCGTCAGCCTGAAAAGGGTTAATATCTATTTTCCTTTTATTAACATTAAAACTGGTGAAATTTAAGTTAACCTCAATCTTTAAAGTGAATGTGATATATTCGATTGACACCGGGACCCTTTAATCTTTGTCTAATCATAAACTATGGAGATATCCTTATTTTCTAGTTTTAAATTTAGTACAGGACAGCCCGAGTAAACTGTGCGAATGGCGTCAAATGGATCATCCTTGATCAGACAAAGGTTTCAAGGGTCCTGTTGTGAATCAACCATGACACTCTACAAATAGATGATTACTTTAAATTACGTCACCTTTAAGGTGTTGTCTGTATTTGGTTTGGTGCTTATTGGACTCTGCGCAGGGCTACCACTCACAGGCAATGAGGGACTAGGACAAAATTATTCAATTTATCAAATTAAATCGGATTTTTTTTATCAGAACAGAAAGCGCTTAATGTGGGCCCGAATATATCCATGGAATTAACTTTAATCTTTTAATTTAAAAGTTTTTTATGAATTATTGATGAAAATTAGCCTGAATTCTATTCATAAAGCTTTTTTATCAATGTACTGTACGCTGTAACTCCCTAACCCCATTCCTGAAACCCAGGTTCCAAAACTGGTTTTCAGGACGGTTTACTGTCTTAAGTTTTGGGCTCAGACTGTACAGTGTACACCGTTCATATGGGGCAGTACATAAAAAGGTTAACATGATCAAGGTAATAAGGCCTTATATTACCTTGTACATGATGAAGTTCCTTCAGATGAAGTCCATTGTAGATAATTTGTCGCTGCGTAAGGTTGAAACAAGAGTTGTTGCTGTTTCTAAATCTACTCCAGAACTTTTAAAAGCTGCCGTATCCAATGCAGATCCAGATTTACTCAGGTAGCTCAGAATGCAGATCAAGATTTACTCAGGTAGCTCAGAATACAGATCCAGATTTAGGTAGGTTAGAATACAGATACAAATTTAGATAATTAAGAATAAAGATACAGATATAGTAAGTGCATCATACAGAAACAGATTTAGATAGATTAGAATACAGATACAGATCTAAAATCCCACATTTTAGGCTCACTTAATTCAAAGTGCATTTTAGTTGTTAAGGGACAGACCGGCTATGTAAGGTAGTTGAACTGAGTATGCAGTGTTGTTGACAAATTCTTTAGGATTCATTTGAGACATATAAAACTTTTTAAAGATCTGTAAATCCTAAGTTTGAGCGCAAAGTCGACGTTCAAAATCTTACTTTTGGGTGGATGATAGGTTTTCAGAATTGTTTTTTTTAAATCATCAAATAACGAAGACAAAAACTGTAAACAAAATTATACAGTACACTAATTAGTTGTTTGGAACAGATTGAGAAAATAAAAATTAATCTTATCATGGAAAATAAGTAATCTTCTTCAATTATTCTTTCCTATTTTCTCATTATTCTAGTTTCTTATTATTCACAAAGATTTTCTGCAGAATTTCTGGAATTGTTATTGAAACGACGGCATTTTAAGAATTTGTAGAAATCTGCGAATAAATTCATAGAAAATAAGAAATTTAATATAATGATGAAAACGAAATAATTGATTCTAGCATTAATTTATTGACAAATTTATTTTTAGAAATATTTATCCAACCATCTAATTAGATTACTGTATACTTTTTACTTTATTTTTCGTCGTCGTTATTGGATAATTTAAAAAACGATTCTGAAAACGTACCCACCCAAATTCATAATTTAGAACGTCGACTATGCAACCAAACTTAGTAATTATTCATCGTGTAAATCCTAAAGAATTTGTCCACAACACTGCATACTCAGTTTAACTACCTTACAAAGCCGGTCTGTCCCTTTAATCCAGATATAAGTTTTAAGCCAAATCATAAAGTTTTAGTTTAAATGACAATTTTTATAACTATTCTTCAGCTGTTTTTTGACAGATGCCTTAAATTGAGACTTTTGATGTGGAGATTCTTTTCAGAAAATTCTCGAGAATTTTACAAAATTATGGTCGACATTTTTATCCGTTTTTAATAACTTGAACCTGTGACTTCCTTAGAAGAGAGAATGTTCGCTGGGAAGCTATAATATGCTTTTTTACTTTTAATTTAATCCCTGAGAACGATTGTTGCAAAGTAAGTCAAAACAATTTTGCTATTTGTTTATTATGTTGTATCACTGTGTCTAATAGGGTTGCACTGACTGATGCTGACCCAGCTCTACTAGAAGTAGCATTAACTCAATCTGTTCCTGAGCTCCTCTCTACAGCTCTGGTTGATATTGATCCTGAACTGCTAAAGATTGCTCTTACAAAATCAAAACCAGAACTTCTCGCCACTGCTCTCACTGTTAGTAATCCTGCTATTTTAAAGGTTAGCAAGATATTGGAGAAATTTTTTTTTAGTTTGATCTAAGGACTGCAGGGGGGAGTATTGGAACTTCTAAACCTAAAACTCTTATATCTCTGCATCATGATTGTGTAATCCTTTTTAACTATTTATATCTAGCAGAATTTATAGTTTTTGAAATATCAAATGTCTTCAATGTCAGGTTAATTAAAGATGTAGGACAGTAGTGATTATGAAAACTAGAATAAGCTCCGCTGAATGGTCTAATTGCAGCTTATATATTAAAGGGAACTGTGGTTGAAACTTCAAGTCTTTCTTTTCCATTTAAAGAGGGTCAAGTCTGATTTAAAGCAGAACCCTTTAAACCTTTATCTTTAATTCTCATAACTTCTTCTATGTTTCATGACAAGAAATCCGTAAGTCTCCAATTTGTAGAGAATTCAGAATTGTCAAAAAAAATATTTTGAAAAAAGAAATCATTCAACCTTCATCATACATGGCTTTTAAGAACACCGCTGTATATCTGTAAATGAAGGCTTACTTTATATTATTTTTACAGTCCCTTTAGAGGAAAAATTACCTTTGGTATCTTTCCTAACTCTTTGTCATTGAATTATATTTTATTTTCAATTTTAAAAACGTTGTAATTATTGAATTTTGTGTCAGGTTGCTCTGACTGCAAGCCGTCCAGACCTTCTAACAGTCGCTCTACAAGACGCAACAAAAGAAAATTTAGAAGTTGCTTTAACACCAGCATAGTTCATAAATGTATACCTGCGTTACAACCCGCCTTTATTGTATAAATAGGCATTGCAACCTGAATAATGCTTTGGCATTACAAACTGCCTATTGCATATACAGGCATTACATCCTGACTTGTGCATAGGCATTACAAAATAACAAGTCTTTCACCTTATAACCCTTCCCCGCCTTTTCGAAGCTAACCTGCACACTACCAACCCTTGCTCCCTCTGAGATCTAGATAATTCTGAAAGACAGAGTTATCACCCATTCCTAGACTTACCCTAAATTCCTAATCTTATCCTCCACATCCCCAACTTTATAAATCTTGCCAATCTTACCTCCCATATTTCCAAGATTATCCAACATTCCCAACCTTACCCCACATTTCCAATCTCACCTCCTTACATTCCCTTTTTTAACCTTTATTAACCTCTCCAAAAATGTATGTTGTTCCTCCAAATTCCAAACTTCCCAACCCTTTTCCAGATAATATAAATACTCCCTCAACATTTCCCAAACTTTTCCCAACCATATCAAACCCATCCAATCCTTTCCCAATTTTCAAACTTCTATAACCCAGCCCAAGCTATGTTTGTTTCAAGTAATCATGCAACTATTACAATATCTAATGATGTTATGAAATAGTTTTAACAAATAAAATTCTTTCTGTATTAATTAGTATGTTTTTGAGAGTGTAGATATTGTTTTGATGGTCGTGCAAGGATTCACAAATCTTGAAATAAGATATAATTTCAAGTAATTATAATTATTATCCCCAAAAATATGGTGATAAATTTTAGCTAATTGTTGAATTTTTTTTCTCGAAAAATTACAATGGAAACAAAATAAAAATATTCGAATTAAAAGTTGTTTTATTACTGAGTAAGCATTATAAAATAAAATATAATCATCATAGAGCCAAGACACCATGATCAAAAATCAGAACCCCCCCCCCCCCCCCCAGCATCTGATGCTATTTAAAATTTTGGCTCATAATTTAGTTGAATATTTATTTGATAACCAGACAATCTTCAGAGAGAACATCGGGCTAAAATTGCTTTGCGAAATTATTGTATCCTGAAAAACGAATTTTGATGAGAAAATTTTTTTTTGTAAACTTTTGAAAATAACTATCATTATCTTTTTGTCTATAACGTCAATTTACCTTTACTTATGAAAAACAAAATGTACTTTTGCAGATTGTTCTTTAGATCTTTCCATCGCTACTCAATAATATGTAATATATATAATATATTATTATTATTAAAAAATATAAGACTAATCCGTTCTTACCCTTCATAATCTATAGTATGTTACACTTAATATATAACGAATTAGGAGGGGGGGGGGGGGGGGGGGTAATGGATATAAGAAACTAAAGGAATTTTTCTATCTAGATGTTTTTTTATTTTTTAATAATTTTACAATGTTCACGTTTTCGACTGATAGGTATAAATCTATAAATTTATTCATTAAGGTTTCCAGTCTCCAGATCAAAAAAGAGAATAAACGAAATACTTCAAATCCATGAAAAAAAAAAAAACAATTTGAAAGGTCTTAGCTTGAAATTAATAAATGAACGAGATGAGTGATGAGTATAATATAGTGCCTTTGGAAAAATAACCGGATGTAATTGTTTTTAAGAAAGAGGGCCGCGAAGTTCTTGAAAAATAAATAGCTAAAAAATGTTATGAAAAAAGAGCAGATATTTCTAGTAAAAAATATCAATCTATTTATTTTTCTAGAAACTTGGTTTTCAGGCACTTCGCGGCCCTCTTTCTTATAAAAATAAATGACATCCGAGCATTTTTTTGCATTACAAAAAAAGACACTTAAAGATTTAACAGATTTTATCTTTATTAGCTTTTGGAATGAGCATTTTTCTTGACCGGCCATCTTAAACTCTAAAATCGTCCAATAGCCGGTTCAGTTGTTTTACGACTTTTTTGGACCAAGATGACAAACTTTTCTTTGTTAAGTTGAGATAAGTTGAGAATAAAATCAGAATTATTTATTAAAATGTTGGCAAGCAGACGGAGAATTTGAAAAGTTAGATAAAACTCTTTATTTTTCGATAATTTCTATATTCTCTCTTCGTTGGCACTCTCCACTCTCCACTCTCCACTCTCCACTCTCCACTCTCCATTCTCCGGGTCTCAGAGTCTTCTTGCTCCTCTTCTGATTATAATGAGAGGAGGGCAGAAACTTTAAAATTGAGTTTACAACGGTGGAGCCCACACTTGGTGACTAGGGATGCACATTGATATCACATAAACGCAGAGTCCACACTAGGGATGCACATTGATATCACATAAACGCAGAGTCCACACTAGGGATGCACATTGATATCACATAAACGCAGACTCCACACTAGGGATGCACATTGATATCACATGAACGCAGAGTTCACACTAGGGATTCACATTGATATCACATAAACACAGAGTCCACACTAGGGATGCACATTGATATCACATAAACACAGAGTCCACACTAGGGATGCACATTGACATCACATAAACACAGAGTCCACACTAGGGATGCACATTGATATCACATAAACGCAGAGTCCACACAAGTATGATAAACGTTCTAAAAATTTTAGGTCCACAGGCTTAATCTTCAGATCGTATGAATTTTGAAAAGCTGCATGAAAACTACTAATATAGAAAAAATGATGTCCATTTCTAGAAATATATTGAGGTGAGTGGATTATAATACAGCAAATGAACCAATTAGCACTAGGTCACTCTTACATAGAACCTTAGCATTCTTTAATCAGCAGACAACTAAATCTAATTTTAAACTTTTCTACCTTCTCCAAATTTTACTTAGGAGTTTAGACACTGGACCGCAGTTTTTATACTGTTAGGGCTTTCAAAGGGTAAATAATATATATTCAAATTATTGCATATCTACACGTTTTTAAGTATAATCTACTGAGATATTTCCAAACACTCAATTTAGACCATTGAAACTGAAATAAACAGCTTTGAAATATGGATTTTCATTGACAAATAAAATACATTATATTTGGTAAGGTAAAACCAAGGGCAAAGGCCCTTGGGTACATTTAAAATCCGGTCCGATCTTAAACATCATTGAACGCTTTTCATAGCTGTATGGATCTATATATGTAGCTCACATTCGGTGGCAGGCATTAATATCAATAAAATATAGTTTTTAAGTTTTTATTGTTAACAAGCTTTTTTTTGAATAAAAAGTTTACAAGTAATTGAAGAGAAGCTTTTTTATCGACAACTTCTCTTTGTTTCCATTTTTTGTGCATATAAATGTTGTTAAAAAGCTTGATATAAATCCAATTTTAAATCGAAATTAGTCTTCATTATATTGAAACAATCGCCTACCGCCGTAAAAGCATCAAGAAAAATAAAAATAAATAAAAAAACCTAAAAAAAATGTTACAAAACCGATTTCTATCTTTTATTTTTCTAATAGTATTTATAAAACTAATATGTAAAGATGCCTCAGAAATTTTAGAAAAATTTACTTTTAATTTTAGTGGAAACTGTCTAAGTCAGTAACTACAACTTAAATTATAATTTGAATTTTGAAATGGACGCCATCTTGAAATTTTGTTGAATCAGCTGATTTATGGTTTAGGTTTGAGCATACAAAAGTATCCGCTGGCGCCGCAGAAGATCCCGGCCATAGGGCAGAGTGTACCACATGTACCGGGCAGGAACATTCCACAAAGTGTACAACCAATAGCAGCCTGTACAATAAATATAATTATATGCACTGTATAAAAAGAATTAAAAACAAAAGTCCCTATTTCTGAAAAATAGCAACTTTCCATGATTAAACTATTCCAGGTTAGGCTTGGTGGGGATAAAAAATAGCCAAGGAAGGTTTTTTTTAGAATTGAGCGGGGGTGGGGCTGGGCTAATTTTTAAAAGAAATGAAGTGTAAAAAATAAGAATGAAATAAAAAATACCTTTTTTTCGGGAAATAATGTGATAAATGATTAGTAGTGTCATTGCTAAGCTTAATTTGACAAAACAAATAAAAAAACTCACCCCTGGACAAACAGCCCCAATATTAGAGCACTCAGGCAACCTAGGTTGCTGTTCAGGTAGGTCAAAGTTCTCCTCTAGCTCACATCTAATATTTTTCAAAAATATTTATTTTGAATAAATTATAAAACAACACAGTTACAAAAATAAGTAAACAAATCTTAGCTTTTCTACTTTTGTCTATTGTCTATAATTTTTTGTCTGTTTATTTTTTTCTATTGTCTATTGTCTATTGTCTACTGTCTATTGTCTTTTGTCTATTGTCTATTGTCTATTGTCTATTGTCTATTGTCTATTGTCTTTTGTCTATTGTCTATTGTCTATTGTCTATTGTCTATTGTCTATTTTCTATTGTCTATTGTCTATTGTCTATTGTCTATTGTCTATTGTCTGTTGTCTGTTGATTATTGTCTATTGTCTATTGTCTATAGTCTATTGTCTATAGTCTATTATCTATTGTCTATTTTATATTGTCTATTGTCTATTGTCTATTTTATATTGTCTATTGTCTATTGTATATTGTCTATTGTCTTTTGTTTATTGTGTATTGTCTATTGTCTATTGTCTGTTGATTGTTTACCATTGTCCATTGTCTATTGTCTATTGTCTATTGTCTATTGTCTATTGTCTGTTGATTATTGTCTAATGTCTATTGTCTATAGTCTATTGTCTATAGTCTATTATCTATTGTCTATTTTATATTTTCTATTGTCTATTGTCTGTTGTCTATTGTCTATTGTCTATTGTCTATTGTCTATTGTCTATTGTCTATTGTCTATTGTTTATTGTCTATTGTCTATTGTCTATTGTCTATTGTCTATTGTCTATTGATTATTGTCTAGTGTCTAGTGTCTATTGTCTAATGTCTATTTTGTCTATTGTCTATTGTCTATTATCTATTGTCTATTATCTATTGTATATTGTCTATTGTCTATTGTCTATTGTCTATTGAAAAAAATTGGATACATTTCTTAGAGGGAACCCACGGGTTCCCGGGGGAGAACATTGGCTGAAAAACTAAATTTTTTCAACTTCCGAAATTCATTTCTTTTCTTTCAAAATTCGATTTTTTTAATTCCGCGGGGAACGCCGGGCATTTCAGCTAGTTGTTTATATTAGTATGTCTATTAATGTCTATTGTCTGCTGTCTATTATCACCTGAACACCTGTCCACATATCTCTGAATCTGTTGAGCTAGCCCCGAGTTCAAAACTGGACTTAAGTTTATTCATGTTGACGAGCTTCTCACTTCCCTTCACTGTATTCATCACCTCGCTGAACACAGCGTAGGAGTCAGCTATTCCCTGCAACATAAACTATTCTTAAAGGTACTGAAGACCTAATATTCTCGATACACAACGGTACCCTTGAAATTTTAACATTCGAACCCACTTCTTGTGTTAGACTTGCTCCGAAAATTGATTGCTTGTAAAGTTGGGAAAACATGCATAACTAACATGAGCAAAGTACTGCCCTAGCAGTAAAGTTTACATATGACAAGATTATTTCAAAACTGAGAAATACGGCGCAGTGGATTGTGCACACTTTCATATTCAGAGCTTCCATTTAAAGCCGAGCCAAAAAGTATTGGATAACAAATGAAAAAAGGTTATATCTAAATGATAAACAGAAGGATTGAAAATGAATGATTTTGTTCCAGATGTTTAAAGTCCCCTGGAAGTGTAAAATGTCAATCAAATCATATCAACCGTGTTTTATGATATGCTTGGCTGACATAGAACTCCACACATTATAAGGAAAAATAAACCTACCATTTTCTTAGTATTATCCAAATACTGAAAACCAGTTTTGAAACTTCAAACATTTTGTTTGAGATTATGAACAGAATTTTCAAATATTTAACAGAATTTTCAAATTTTGAACAAGATTTTCAAATCTTGAACAGAATTTTCAAATATTTAACAGAATTTTCAAATCTTGAACAGAATTTTCGAATCTTGAACAACATTTTCAAATCTTGAACAGAATTTTCAAATATTTAACAGAATTTTCAAATCTTGAACAAAATTTCAAATCTTAAACCGAACTTTCAAATAATTAACAGAATTTTCAAATCTTCAACAGAATTTTCAAATCTTTAACAGAATTTTCAAATCTTGATCAGAATTTTCGAATTTTCGAAATCCTGTCAGTGTGTTTGATATATAACGAGCAAAATGTTAAGGCATGCCAAGGTCGATTGATTACCTTAGCAACTTGACTGCCTGTATCCCCATGTGCTCCAACTAGGCAGTAGGACCTAAGAAGGCAGTCGGTTACCCGTCCCTCCAAGCTTAGTTCTGCTACTAGAGCTGTCTGAGACTGCATGTATTCTAGAGTTTCAGCAGTCTCCTAAAAAAAGAACGTTAGGATGGTTTTGTCAGTGTTTGCTGCTTTGTTGGTAAATGTTAAAACGACTAAGTTGTTGGATTTTCATCCATTAAACTTCAAAACGACCAAAGCTTCAATTTTTATTGCTGGTTGTGATTTGAAAAAAATGGTTGGGAAAAGTTTTTAAATTCCACGAAAACAGAAAAATTTGCGAAATTTAAAATTTTTTATCCTGCCCAAAAAGTAAATATGTGTTTAGGTAAAACTTAAAAGTGAAAATTAAACGTTTAATATTTTTATTTTTTAGAGTTAAATAAAAATTAAAACAAAATTGATGATAGAAGTAAGACTCAAAAAAGTGTGAAGTTTCATAAGTTTCAACATTTTTGGGTAAACCTCTATTTTATAATTACCGCTGAAACTGAAGCTGTTAGAAGAAGAATATAGAAAATCATATTTTGCAATATATAAGACTAAGCCCAAGGTTCCAATAGTACTGCTAACAATAATAAACAAGGTACAGTTAATTTTATTTTTAGGCCGGTTAAAGTTATTGACCCCTCCCAACTACAAAACCCTTCCTCCCCATTATTTCTAGCCTTCTGGTTGGTCCCTGCAGTTAGCCCGCGGGCTCTGATATTGGCTGAAACTCTCCCGTTATGTTACGGTCAGTGTGCCACAGAGTGAAAATAAGTAATTTGTTATTTGTCCAAAATATGTAATTGCCTATTATTCAGGGATAAATATATCAATTATTCTAAATAAAATGATAAGTTTTACAATTAGAAAAATATATAAAATTGACTCACACTAAAAATTAAATATGATTTTTATGTGTCAAAAATAGAATTAAATAGAATTAATTGTATTTTATAAATGCCACAAAATCAAGGAAGGGGGAGGGGGGGGGCGTGGGGCTACGGTAAAGGTTAGAGAGAGGTGAATTATGGTTAAAGGGGTGGACATTAATAATATTTTTGTTGTTGTTTTGGATTAAAAGGAAATCAGGGGAGGGAGAAGGGAGGGTAACAAGGGAGATGGAAGAGGGGGGGGGGGGAGTTAAAGAACACTAGAGCTTGAGATTTGAATACCCAGTACCAAGCTGACCAGCCTGAAGAATGCTGCTGTTCCTGACCCTTGTTTGTCTAGCCGTAGCGGAGCCTGAACCATCAGCACTTTATAGAAACTATATTCAACATCGTAGTACATTCTCCAGGCTTCCGGTAACATTATTATTATTATTATCATTATTATCATTATTATCATCATTGTTATTAGAACATTTTCTTAAAAAGATGATTTCTTGAAGAATTAATTATCCAATTAATTTATTAAAATAATTACGTCTTTATCATTCATTTTTATCATAATTATTAATATCTTTTATTAGTATCATTATTAAATACCATTATATTTATTATCAATTTCATTGCAATTATCTGCATCTGGATTTTCTTAACGTTAAAATGCTAAAAATCCCTTTATTAGTTGATTAAAGTTCACAGTCTTTTTAATAGTTGATAATAGTTAACAGTCCCTTCAATAGTTGACAATAGTTGACAGTTCTTTTAATAGTTAATACTAGTTGACAGACCATTTATTAGTTGATAATAGTTAACAGTCCCTTTAATAGTTGATAATAGTTTATAGTTCCATTAATAGTTGATACTAATTTACAGTTCCTTTAGTAGTTGATAATAGTTGACACCCCCTTTAATAGTTCATAATAGTTGACAGTCCCTTTATTAGTTGATAAAAGTTAATAGTCCCTTTATTAGTTGATAATAGTTGACATCCCCTTTAATAGTTGATAATAGTTTATATTTCCTTTAATAGTTCATAATAGTTGACAGTCCCTTTATTAGTTGATAAAAGTTGACAGTGCCTTTATTAGTTGATAAAAATTGACAGTGCCTTTATTTGTTGATAATAGTTAACATTCTCTATAATAGTTCATAAAAGTTGACATAGTCTTAAATAGTTGATTATAGTTGACAGTTCATTTAATAGTTGATAATAGTTGACAGTCCCTTTAATATATGATAATTGTTGACAGTCCCTTTAAAAAACTGTTAAATTAAGGTTCCCCGTATTGGAGGTTTGGGGCGCGTGAGCAGCTTGGCGCGGGAACAGGGAGCGCTCATTACAGAACAATTTTTTGCTCTTCAGGTAAATATAGAATAAACACTTCAAACCAAATAAATGCACGTATAATTAAAATCTTAAATGTTTTTAATTATAGAAAGTCCAAAATGTTGTTAATTTCTAATATGTAACCAGATAAATTTGCTTTTCTCATCCTTGTGTTTAAAATCTAAATTAGAGGTGCTACGAGGTCACAAAATTATACCAGTAATAAATTCGACCTTCTCCTTTTTTTCTATTTTGCAGTAAAATTTACAATAAGAATATATCAAAACTGAATTCTAAAAACATTATTTTTTTATTAAAATTGATAATCTTGTTGGCGGAATGATACTCATGTAATATTGACCGTGCGATCCCGATTCCCGACTCGAAACCTTTAAAATAAAAACAAAATCTCCAGTTATATAAAGACAAAAATTCAAATATTAACCAAAAATGTTGACAAAAATTGTTATTTCTGTCGGCCAAAAGAGTGTAATTTATATTTACAAATAGCAACCAATCGCTTAATATTGTTTCAGGATAACAAATATATTTTTGATTTGTTTAGGATAACAAATGCCTGGCGCGTGGTCTATGCCAATTTGGAGCTATGAGTGAAAAGGGTATTTTGGATACTATTAAAGAATACGAAATTCCAAATCTTACTCTAGATGATCTTTGGAGCCTGGTCAATGTAAGTTTAAAATACAGAATACATACAGTTAGAACCAGAAAACTGTGAAATAGGAAGACGACATTAAAACAATAATTAAGTGTATTTAATGTTTAATGATACAAAGGAAATATTTGTACTAGTAACTTATTGAACCACTTATTGAATGCAATTAGTCTGTTTACACTTTACAGTTGGTGTGTCTCATTCTCATGTGTTAATTGAACTATTTAAAGTCATAACTGAGGTCTAAAAGTAGTTTTCCTATTCCAGAGTTTTCTGGTTCTAACTGTATTAATCCTTTCAGTCTATATTTTATCCATCCAACGTGGGTCTAAATATTAGATACAATACAATTAATTACATTCACATCCAAATCTAAACAACAAGTTAATTATCAAATTTGTGAAAAGCTTCGACTTCTAAGTGTCGCAACGGTTTAGCCTTTGGTTTCACCCCACCAACTCACTTATACTTTTTGTAGCCTTAGACATTTTATCAAGCAACGCCCTTGTTACTAACTTAAGTTTTGAGGAGTTATCATCAAAATACTGCTTGATATTTGTGTGAGACCTTCTTGATTTGCAGTTTATATTACGGCTGTTATCCAGTATTCAGTAGGATTACACTAGATCAGCTTGTACAAATAAATACTTGTACGATTCAACCAAACATTACATACATAGATAGGACAACATATTATGGAAATTAAACATATATTTCAGAAATAAGGCATAAATGCATAGATAGGACATAGATTACACAGAAAAACAATAGAATACATATACAGGACAAGAGGTTACATAGATAGGACATATAACACATAAAAGGATATAAGTAGAACAAGGACTAAAGTTTACAAAGATAGTCCAACAATTACATTGATAAGACCATTAAATAAATAAAATAAAATATTGTTTCCTGATTTTGAGTTGAATATTCCGAATAATTCAAACACAGCTTTCTGGTTGAGCCCCCCCCCCCCCCCTCCTCCCCCACAATTTGTCATTTGAAGGAACTCTTAAACTAAAAAAAAACTATCTATATAAACTAAAAAAACACTCCTTCTAGGAAACAATTCACAGTGTTTCCAACTACGTCCAAGGAGGAGATGATGAAGATAAGCGACAGCTGCCAACAGTTGACAGACTGCTGGGTGCTGTCAAGGTGGGAAAACTGCTGGGTTATGACAGCTGTAAGAGTCTGTTTGACTGTTCCGAAGATCTGTTCAGAAACCAACAAGGAAGAATAACTTGTCAGGGAGCCGGTAAAAAATAATAATTATTTTAAAAAATTTTTAAATAGGCGTTAAGGGGGAATCGCGCCCATCTTTAACTTTTAATTGTTGCTCTGTTATCGTTTTTTCGTGGATTTTAAAAAATCTAAATTATTTTAAGGCAATATTTTTAAATTGAATCCATAAAACTTCTCTGGGATCAAAAAATGTGGGCCCAATCAGTTCAGCCATTTTGACGTTTATTCGTTACAAACCAAGAGACAAGAAGACAAGCAAAGTATAAATATATGTATCTTCTAAAATTTTCATTTTAAAGGTGTAATCTGTCCCGGTTTATCTATCAGTTGTGCTATGTGTGGACTGTACGCTCCTGCCACTTGTGGTGCCGCCTGTACTGCTGCCGGACTGTACTGCGGATTTGGCGGGTACGCATGCGCAGATGCCGCAGCAGCAGCTGCAGCTGAAGCCGCAGCGGGACCTGCAGTATTTAAATAAAAAGCTCGGAGCTCCACCATTTTGAACAATTTTAAGATTTAAAAAATGTTTGAATTGTTTTCATCAAAGAAAAGAAATCTTTGGAAAAATTTATCATAAAAATATTATCTTTGAACTACATATTTCAATATTAATATATCATCCAATATTGAAATTTTAAACTGTATCTCTATGGGCATTATATAGATTAAAAAAACACATTTTAAACTGTATCTCTATGGGCATTATATAGATTAAAAAAACACAATTTAAACTGTAGTTCTATGGGCATTATATAGATAAAACACTTGTAACAATATATGTGTAACAGTTCTTGGATATAAATAAAACTATAACAGAGACAGTTTTTTTTTGTTTTTGTCAGAAAATTTAAAAACAAAATAAGAAGTTCTAATTTCCAATAATACATTCTATAAATTTCTTGAAATATTTCTATAAACGTTAATTTTCTATTCCTTCCTCAATCAAATCTGAAATTGGAATTTTATCTATAAAAGAAACTATAATATAAGGAAAACGGGATGTGGAGGGCTGGGGTTGGAATCTTGATCGAAGGATGGAGGAATCTTTATTTTTTAGGGGGGGGGGGGTATTAATCGAAAGGGGTAGGTATGAAATGTTGTATTTAACTTTTAGACATTAAGGATCATGACAAGTTGTGAAGGTGTCGTTGTAAATCGAAAATACCACTCTAAATATAAATGTTGGGTCATCTGAAATTACAATTATATTCACTTTAATATTCATCATTTTTTGCGCTAAACTCACATATTTAAAAATCTGATTTGAAGTAATAATATTTCTGATTCTAAATGATTGTTGAATTGAAGTTTAAATACCCTATTCAGATCCACATAAGCAAATCTGATTCAGAAGTAAAGGAATAAGAAAGTATTTTTATAAATTGTTTGGAATGGAAAATTGTGGAAATGTTTTTTCCTATCTTTAAGAGTCTTTTTATAATTAAAATAAAACCATAATTATTCCAAAAATATTTCTAAAATGAATATGTATATACTTAAAATCTTACAATTCCTTTATTAATATCAAAAAAAAGAAAATAAAAAATTCTATCCAGTTGAAAAAGTGAAAAAGTTTTCGGGTTCTATTGTAAGTAATTTTTTAGTTAAAACGGAAAAAAACACAGTCGTGAATCGTGATAGGGTTAAATAATTATTATAAAGAACAGAATTAAAAATTAAAAAAAATTCAAAAATTTATATTTTTATCCCTTTGCCATAGTATTTAGAAATTTTAAAATTGAGAAGAAGACTATAAAATCTGTTTGTGCAATGTGCATCCATCTCTACTTGATTGACAATGATGCACTGGCGCATTTTACATAACACTTATAGGGCCCGGCAGGGCGGAATGTCGCAGCAAAAGAAGTGTATTATCAGGGTTTGATTGACCTGGTAGCATCTCATGGGAAATATAGATTATTTTATATATATTTTGTATTCTCGCTCAATTCTTAAATTGGAAAAATAATATTTATATTTCCAACCGATCCTTTTACTCAAATTCTGATGGAAGACCAATCTTTATATTTCTTTTATTCAAAAATTTTCTCTTTTATTTGAAGGGTGATTAAATTCCTCAAGTGTTTTCATGTTTTCATATAACTCAAAAAGTATTAATCTAAGGCTGTTAAAATGTTCCTGCTTTTCCAAAAACACATAACCTAAGATATTTGATTCCCTTAGAGCCTCTGAGTCTTCATGCACATACTGTCTTTAACATTATAAACCAGCCTCAATCTCTGTTTAGACCCATTTTCAGATAATACATTTAAACATTTTTAAATTATTTGCATTATATTCTTAGTTTAATTTATTCTAGCCTAAGTGGAATAATTACTCTAAACGCACAGTGTTTGCATTTGATAAAAACCTAAATGTAATATTGGAAATAGATTCAATGCATGATAGAATAACTCGAATAGAAAAAGTGCAAATATTTATTCATCTTTAAAGCTTCTTCATATTCTTCATATACACGAAACCTTGCTTTTTCACAGTCAATGCTTAAAGGGACTGTCAGCGTAATTCTTCTAATTATTGTGATTCACAATTGTGACCTTTAAATTAAAGGGACTGTCAGCGTAATTCTTTTAATTATTGTGATTCACAATTGTGACCTTTAAATTAAAGGGACTGTCAGCGTAATTCTTTTAATTATTGTGATTTACAATTGTGACCTTTAAGTCAAAGATATTTCGTGCTTTTTTAACATGTTACATATACAGTGGTCTCTTAAAAATTATGTAATACAAAAAATACAAAAAAATGAATACAATATAAGAACTGTGCAGTATAAACTACATTAAACAACTACTTGGATGTCTGTTTTCTGTTCCACATTTAATAAGGAATGCAGGGTGTAACTAGAGAAAAAATAAAAAAATCATAAACCTTAAAATTTTTTTTATTGGTTTCATCTTAATTTGCTTATATCTACAGAGCGGCTCATATCAAATTAGATTATCTCCAAGCTTTAACGCCAAAATACGCATATAATACTAATAATTTTCTGCAAGAACATCTTTAAATCAGCTAATACTTTTTTTAATGACTCGTTTTCAAAAATTTCTGATTAGTCCTTTACATCTCATCCTATTATGATGTGGGACCCGGACCCCATGTATATATACTATATTTTATTAAACACTTCAGGCTTTTATGGTGCTTCGCGCCGTCTTTCCAATATAGTGGAAATTACTATACTTCTGGTTGGGTTCAACGTAATTTTCAAAAATCCGTATTTCTTGAATATTTTTTTAAGTTTAATGAAGCAAACATCATCGCAAAAAAAGTTCTTGAGCCGGATTGGTTGGGCTTTTACTTTCCAGCGAAAGAAAACTTTCCATAAAAATTGCGAAGTTTGGCGAAAATTTTTCATAGGATTTCGCCAAATTTTTCGATAAATTTTGTATTTTTTCGCGAATACGAAATGTTAAGGATTTTTTCTAAAAAAAATGCGAGACTTATCAAAAATTTTAAAGGGGTTTCGCAAACTTTTCCACGAAATTTTTGATTTTTTTCTAAAAACTAAATTCGAAAAAAGGCGAAATTTTCAGCAAAAATATTTTTTTTGCGAAAAATGCGAAATTTTTGAGAAACGATTTCCTCATTTCGATAGAAACCAAAGGGCTACGTTGACGTTTCTTGGCCAACAAGCAAACGTACAGACAATGAATAAATTGGATAGATAAAAGTATAGAATTAATCTATCTCTATCTGTCCATCTATCGATCTATTTCTTATATGTAAATGTATCTATCTATATATTGGTTATATTGCCAGCTATTAGAATAAAGCTTATTTTAACTGCTTCACAGGACTATATAAAGACTAAAGCAGAGATATAAGTGTATATAGCTTTAAAATTCTTCAATCTTTATATATTATATGTATTTTCTGGAAATGAAAATTTCCTTAATTTTTTTCCTTTCTTATCTAACTATACTTAATTTGCCTCAACTCCCCTTGACCATGTATCTTTCCGCTCCTCTTCTTCCATCCACTCCCTCTCCTTTCATTCCTTCCCCCACCTTCCCTCCCTTACTCGGCCAGAAGAAGGGTGAGGTTGAGAAGGAGAGGGGTATAATGAGAAGTGGATGATGGAGGGAGAGGGGTATAATGAGAAGTGGATGATGGAGGGAGGGGTATAATGAGAAGGGTTTGAGGGAGGAAGGGGTATAATGAGAAGGGGTTCCATTAGCTTAAAAAATTTTGAAAATTTGAAAATTTTCTCGATTTCAATTCTCAATCAAAAATGTGCCAAATTCTTTGGAACTCAAATCTTTCATTAAAAATGAAAAAACTTGCTAAATGTGTGAGAAAAAATGGGTTTACCGAAATAAAACTGAAGCCAATATGATTCCTCTTATTGTGAATAAAATCTGTATTCAGCTTTATTTCCGGATCAGCATTTTTTAAATTCCCATTAAGGACTATAAATTTTAGCAAACTTGTTTTTTTCGACTTTTTAATTTTTTATGTAATTCGTATTTCACTTTTACGCATTTGATCCTTGACTTTTATGTCTGTATAAGAAAAGATAAAAAAAACAAGGTACTAAAGTCAGTTACAGTAGCTATATAGTTAATCTATACAATAAAGCTCCTCGCTAATATAATATATTCGTCAGTTATAGCTGGCCAAACATATGAACAAAACTGGCTGAATTTTTTAGGGAGCCCTTGGATACCCCGGGAATACCCTAGGCTAAAAAAATTAAACGTTTTTTCAATCTTTGAAATCTATTTTTCCAAAGTGGCCGGGAACTTCGACTATTATATTATATAACAGCGTCCTAAGTTAAAACAAAGAAACTAGTAAGAAAAGGCAAACTAATAATAATGAAACTCTTTACTCATTTATATATATATATATATTTCAGTTTTTATATATATATATATATATATATATATATTCATGTTCGATATGGCTGGCCAGACGGCTGGACCGAATTGGCTGCACTTTTTTGAGCGAACCCGTGGCCATGGGTACCCTAAGGGTAACATAGGTTCAGAAAAATTGACATTTTTGAAATTCCACGGGCAGCGGTTTAATACCAAAATTGTTAAACATAAACCTGTTCTCACTGTATCCAAGCTCAATGTCGTCTTCCTACCCTTTACCTTTGTATTGGGCCAGGTTTAAAACAGAGAGCATACTCCGGCCTACCTCTGTTACAGACAGAGTCAACAATATCGTCCATTTTGAACACTAAATTTTCAACTTAAAATATACAATCCGTGAATAATTCTACAATCCCTAGCAAAGGAATTGAGTCTTTGTCACAAACTCTGATTTTCTAATACCTGTATCTTTGCAATCCAATTTCGTAGAAGCTAGATATTTCAAACTATGAATTCTGTTAGATCAAATAGCCTAAGTTTGAAATATCAAGGGTTTCCACCATTAGGTTGCCAAGATAAAAGGATTGGAAAATTTGAGTTTGTGGCAAAAACTCAATTCCTTTCCACTTAAACAACTGGGGTTTTATTTCAGAAGTAAAAACTAAATGTTTTAAACTGACCCGACAAACCCCTCCTTGATCACACCAGACACACCCTAATAGTATATTTAATCATCATTACTAATTATTAATAAAACCGTATTTTGTAGGTTTGAAATATATTCATATATTCACTAAGTGTTTGTGATTACAAGGAGTTTCAATGAACCTATAATCAAGCCGTCCGTGATTTGTGTTACAAATATATATTCATTTCTGCATAAGAAACCTCTTGGCTCAGGTATACCCACAACGAATGAGGCTGTAATGACGACCTGAAACTATAAAAATATGACGATTTCTAGGTTGAATTATTTCTTCTGCCTTGAATATATGTCTTTTAATGGCTTATTTAATGATTTGGCAACGAGCGACACCTCTTTACAGTTGCAGGGAGTTATGAATATAAGGCAGCAGACAGTGTAAATTCCGCATAATCGTAGCTGGAGCTATCTCTGTATATTTGTTATATGATAGTTTCAGCTTGCCAAACAGCTGGACCAAATTGGCTTGAATGTTTAGGAAACGTATGGGTACCCTAGGGGTGTCTAAAGAAAATCGAAAATATTATTTTTTCAAAATCGATATATTTGTTTAATATTTAATATTTTCCTTCAAAATTCCACTGGCAAGGCAAGGCACTTAACAGCTAGTTGATTATATAACGGCATCACACCATCCTGAGGAAAGAACTCCTCCCCAGTTGCTGGGAAATCCTGCCCTACTAGGTTTAGGGGAGTTATCTTCAACCAGTCTACTTCTAAACTCCTGAAACCAAATATGTAGATAAATCTATATAATAAAAAAAGACATTCGTGTATATGTATATATGTTGCTCATAGCAGGTCAAACGGCTGAACCGAATGGGCTGAAATTTTTGTGAACACTCATGGGTGGCCGGGGAGTTTATAGGCTAAAAAAATTCGAAATTTTTTTTCAAAATATATTTTTTTTAAATTTTTAAAAAAATTTTTTTTTTACCACGGGCAACGCCGGGCCCTTCAGCTAGTATATACATAAAATATAGAATAGTTTTGCTTCTCAAAACATATCCAAATATAGTTTTTCTTGATCATTGATCAAATTAATTATATTAAGCGAAAATAGGGCTTTTAAGAGAAAGTTTTGTTTGTTACAGAAATCATGGTTTAACCTATCAACAACAAAACACTAGAGAAGTTAAAACCGAAAGATTTGAATTTGTTCGAACGATCTTGAAAAACGATAGTTTTTTACTCAATAAACGAATTTTCGAAAAGATTTTGAAAAGACGGTTTTTTAGAACGAACGATTTTTTCTTACAAAATTTTATTTAAATGATAGTTTTGTACAAATGATTATTTTCGAACAAAACTTTAAAATAAAAGATCCTGTTTTTACAGTTATAACAATTTTAATGAAGACACAACTTCACTGAACGATCGTTTAGTGATAAAACGAATGAAATAGATCCAAATGGAGAAGGAACGAATCAAATTTTTACAACAATTGAAAAAGACTAACAAAGCAAATGTTTAAGAACGATGATCAGAAAAAAAATGAAAAAAATAGTAATCATCAACCATCGTTAACAACCAAATTGCTAACAAAAGATATCTTAAAAACTAGTTAAATCAAAAAAGAAATGCAAATGTTTGGAACGGGATAATTAACAACGGAACTAATGCAGAACAAATGATACTGCCGAAGGAAAGATTAACAAAAATGAAGCAAACAATTTTCAAAATCTAAAACAAGCCAGATCCTTTGAATGCTATTTTTTATTTCTACAATATTTTGCCTTCATCAATATAGTTTTCAGTTCTCCAATCTTCTTCTTCTTACCACCTCCAGCTGCTGCCTTAATATTGATCAAGTTTGATTTGCTACAATGCAATGTAATTTAAGGTTCCTTGAAGGCCAAACAAATTAATTTAAGGCTCCCTGAAGACCAAACAGATCAATTCAGTTCTTTTAAGGCCAACCAGGTTAATTTGGTTCCATAAACACCAAACAGATTAATTTGACTCCGGCCAAACAGATCAACTTGGTTTTTTAAGGCCATACAGAACTTTTTCTGAAGTTGATTCAATAATAAACTTTTAAAAACCTATGGTTTTTGAGGGTGGGACCTTTTTAACCATTATTGCCCTAGGTAACAATTTTGCGGAAAATGTGCAGAAATTCCCAGGAAAATCTGGTCAAAATGTTGACAGAAATTTTGAGGAATTTCTCGTAACCAATTCCGAGGAATTTCTCGTAATTCATTCTAGGGAATTTCTCGAAACCCGTTCAAAGAATTTCTCATGACCAGTTTTCAGGAATTTCGTGTTACCCATTCCGAGGAATTTCTCATAACCTTATCCAAGGAATTTCTTGTAACCAATTCCAGGGAATTTCTTGTAACCAATTCCAGGGAATTTCTTGTAACCAATTCTGGAGAATAACCAGAGACAATTTCTAGAAACTAAGTGTTTTATTTTGTTCCCCCCAAAAAAACAGTAAATTAGTAACCAAGTCCTGAGAATTTCCTAGCAGAAAAAAACAGCAAATTAATGTTTTTTATACTCTTCACTCTCCTATCTCAACTCTCAGGCCAAAATCATAATTTCTCAGGAATTTCCGGAGAAATGTTCTATAGAAATTCTCAGGAATTTCTATGGGAAAAATTTCTGAGAATTTCTCAGGAATTTCTCGAGACTATGTCTCTTGTCCAGTTCCCCATTTCTCAAAGAAAAGTTCTGAGAAATTCTCAGGAATTTCTCGAGACCATGTCTTTTATTCAGTTCCCCAAAAAATCCATAAAAAGGGTGACCAAGTGCTGAAAATTTCTCACGAATAATCCGGAGAAACCCTGGTTTTAAGCCACACTCTCTATTTAATGTTCATTTTCCATTAAACTCACCAGGTTTGCTTTTTCACAAGGATCCTTCTGTAAATTGTACAATTCCAGATTACAGCTTGCCTCAGGTTTCTAAATATTGGGGAAATAAAACTAAATTAAAATGACATGATTTATATTATATTTGCTGAATATTAAAACTAGAATCTCACATCTATGAGTTTTGGCATAATTTTGACACAGTTTTACATCAATTTCTCGAGACGGAAACATCAGATATTTCCTTTACATCAGACCTATTTTTCCTTTACAGTCCCTTTAATTGGTATTTTTCATCATAACCTTTGCTTCCAGCAGACTGTCTTGACCCCAAATAAGTTTGTATTTTCCATCTATTACAGCACCAGACCACAATCCTTCATAGTTATCCTAAACACAATGTTAGGGTTCCTACCACACTCATGAAAGACAAAGTCCTGAATTTAAAAGTAGCATTTTTCTGCATGTTTGACAGAAGTCTGTATTTCAGGAATGTACATCAAGAACTTGTCAGCTAAACTAAAATTAAAAAGTAATTATATTTTTTTTCAATTTACCTGGTCAATGTTTAGAATTATCCTACTTCTTGTGGACCTAGAATTTCTTTCCAACCCCGGCCACATGTTAATAGAATCTGTATCTTTGGGAATCTAAACAATTTTATCAAAGAATTAATTATTTTTCTTGTTTTGTCTTACCTTAGATTTGAGCGAAGCTAGATTAAGAAGTGTAGAAAACCAGTCTGTTATAAACATCAATCTGAATAATATGATTAGATGATCGTGAATACTTTTAATCAAAACATGGTCCCAGTTCTAAAATTGTATATTGAATAATTTTTTTTAAAAATCCAGAGGAAAATTTTAAAAAATTTGAGCCACGTTTTCAATATAAGCCGCGGTTCAAATTTTGTTGGTTCCACTTAAATTTGTATTAAATTTTTTAAAATTTAAGCCGGCCCTTAATTAAAATGTTTTTAGGGGATTTTAGACGCAGTTTAAATTCATTAAATTCGGACACAGGTTTTAAGTGATTTTTTAAGCGTAAATTTGTATATTTTGCTTTTGTGGTTTACTTGTTGTGGGATATTCCAGATTGTCTGAGTAAAGGACTATTAATAAACCCTACTCCTCTCACACCTCCCTCATACAACTGTCCTTTGTGACCTGAAATAATAATTAAAGTTTTGATGACTTCGCGACGAGCGCTTGGTAAATTAAGTTACAGAAGAAAAGACGGATTTACGCAGATTTGTCCTTCTTTTTCAACGCCAGCAATTTTTTGATAAAAAACTAGATTATACAAAATTTGGGGCTTTCCGAACTTGTTTGAAAAAATCTCAATAACTAATGTTGTTTATCTTAGATAACGTAAACAAAATCTACATTTACCTTTGAGAGGTTTATTTGAACTATATCCCTGTCCTCCCCCATTATCCGATGTAAAAATCAGAACTGAAATATAATTCCTTTTAGAAAATATGATTTTTATTTGTGCAGGTGCAAAAAAGGAGTTTCCCTCCCGGAACAGAGCCATCTAGCAGCGAGACATAGAAGTTGCAGTAGTCCTTTGGAGAATATCATTCTTGCCTTGTGATTATTACAGGCTACTTTAAGCAGAAAGAGGGCGGGGGGAGATATAAGGGAGCCCAGTTCCATAAGAGCTCTGGTGGGTAAGAAAATAATCACAGAAAGCTTAAATTGTAAGTGCTGGAAAACAATACCCAGAGAGCAAAGAAACCAACCTTGCACATCACTGTAATAAGAGATTGAAAATGGATGTGAGTTAGTCATGTGACATGATATATGCAATCAGGCAAGCAGACGTCATAGGAACAAAGGAAATGAGTCTTTTCCACAAATTAAAATTTGCTAATCCCTATGTCTTTGCAACTTGTTGGTGTACACCTTGGAAATTTCAAACTTAAATGATTTTATCTGACAGGAATCATATTGAAATATCTACGGTTTACAACATTGGGTTGCAAAGATATTAGAAAATCAATCAATTCCTTTCTCATCGTGCATTTGAGTCTGGAGTTATACCTTGCACTGAGTTGCATGTTGACCAGTACTTTATACTATATGTGGTGCAATGAACTGGATCATGGTGTACATAAATTTCACGAAAAAGGGATCATTCATTTGGAGTACTGTACCGGTTTGCCTTCCATAGTCTGTAATTGTACTGTACAGCTTTCTCTAGCTGGTTGAAAATCGGCCTGGTGCTGTAAATGAATTGGAATATACAATGGGTGTTAGATTTAATAATAGATTGAAAAAGTTGCCTGAGTTTTTATACAGTCCTGTTCTTTTAAGGGCATCATAAATATTTCCTACAGCAGCGTCCAAAGCCTAAAAAATGTCACCAGTTTTTATAAGTCCTAAAGTGGGAGGGGGGGGGGGAGGTACATAGAAGTTCTGAAGGGGGAGGGGGGGATTTTCTACATTTTACAAAATATGTTGCAAAAATTTGCAATGTGGTCGATGGTTTTTGTCACATGATGCTCCAATATATGATGCAAATTATTAAACAATTATGCAAATATTTTACAATATTTTTTCTTCATAAAGTGACAACTTACAGAAATAGTTGCAGCTATGTTTTGGCTAACATTATCTCCGAGAATCCTCGTTTTGTAAAGAGTCCTATATATATATATTATAAACTTTCTACATTTGTAAATTTAACATCAATTGTGTAAATTTGTGTACGTCATTTTTGTTTACATTAACTTGAATTACAAGCATCTTCTACTCTTAGAGTGAAAGGGTGATAGACAAACTTTGTGAACACAATTTTAAAATTTCAAAATAAATACAGTTTAAAAGATACAAAATTAACTTTTTTTTCAACACTTTTAAATTTTAAAAAGAAACTGGCACTTTAAACAGGTTTTCTAGAACAATTCTTTTCTCATTTAAGACGACAAAATGAATTGTTTGTTCAATTCACCAGATGAAATTGAAATATTATGATTATAACAATTGCTTGTTAAAAATAACATAACCTGTATTTTTCAGGGGGTGTAGGAATTGGTGCATGAGGGGCCTAAATACAAATTATCAATCATATTTTTTTTAAATCAAAAGAATCTTTTGATATAAGACAGTCATTTTTCAAAATATTAATTTTGAGGATTATCTGTGAGTGGATGCCCGGTGGTGGTAGTTTGCATGCCACATTTTACATTATTTTCTTAGTGTGTTGATTGTATTTGACCGTTTTACAGACAAATTCTACCCCCTTCATAAACTAGTCAATCCTTTTCCAAACATGAAATACTTTTCAAATGAGAAAATGTACGGTTTTCTAGTTTTTTAACGTTTTATTTGTTTTGACATTATTCATTGAACAAATTCCCTATTGTAAAGGTTACAAAATTTTCTTGTTTTTTTCTTTGTGTATTTAAGTTAGTTTGTAGTATTCATTTTATATATTTTTTGGCTAACGTTTTTTTTATTTTTTTTTGCTCATATCTGTAATATTATAGGACGAACTCCGGATGATGCCAAAGTTTTTGGCGAAATATATTAAGAAGAAAATTAGTGAGAATTCTAGTGAGAGAGAGAGAGGTTTGGGATTTGTTTAAAAACGACCTAAATTCTACAATTTTAAGTTTACCCATTCTTATTTCTATTGGTTTGCATGGTCTTGCTATTCAACGGTCTTAAAATAACAACTAAAATGGATGGTTCTTAGGTTAACGAAACCTTTTTATTTAAATAATCTTTGATAAAAAAGTAGTTGAAAAGTACCGCTAACCTTACCTGAAATGGAACGTACAAAAACAAAGGTCTGGAACTGTTGTGCGCCTCAATTACACTTACAGCCTTCCTAGAAAATTTGATAAGCTTGAAGAAATGATATCTAATTTATTGATATCAACAACTGATGCTTAGAGAAAATAAATGTAAATGGAGATGAGTACCTGGAGAATAGATCTGTAGATAAAGTTAAATACCTGTAGAATAGATCTGTAGATAAAGATGAATATCTAGAGAATAGATCTGTAGATAAAGATGAATACCTGGAGAATATATTTGTAGATAAAGATGAATACCTGTAGAATAGATCTGTAGATAAAGATGAGTACCTGTAGAATAGATCTGTTGATAAAGTTGAATACCTGTAGAATAGATCTGTAGATAAAGATGAATACCTGTAGAATAGATCTGTATATAAAAATGAATACCTGGAGATATAGATTTGTATATAAAGATGAATACCTGGAAAATATATCTGTAAATAAAGATGAGTACCTGGAGAATATATATGTAGATAAAGATGAGTACCTGGAAAATATATCTGTAAATAAAGATGAGTACCTGGAGAATAGATCTGTGGAAAACTCCCCCAAACCTTCATATGAAACCTAAAATTTAAAATGTAGAATAGCTTGTATTTTCTATATTATACAGACAGATCTTAACCTCAAAATAGTTTTTGTTACATAGATACCCCTAATATTCAGATTGATATTTTAGCAAGACAAATCAAGTTTGTTTTTCAGATTTACCTTGTCGTTTTCTCTAAAATCATATCCTTTATGATCATTTTCAAACTTCTTCTCACCTACATCAACTTCCCTAAAATAATAAAGTGAAAAGGTAGGTTTTGAAACTTATCTATTAAAACCGTTTTAATCTTCAATTCAGAACTATAACAACAGTAAAAAAATAGAAAGTGGTTTCGTTACTAAATAAAAATATAAAAGATTAAGGACCATTTTGATATGATAAATTGTTTCACCTTGTATAATAATTTGTAACATGACTATACTGTCCAAAAAATGTATCGAACCCTCTCTGGTTTGGAAGATAAGCTTCATTACAGTATCCCAAATGCCATTTTCCAACCTAAAATAAGCAAATGTAAAATCATTCATATCATTCGGTAGATTGAAATTTAACACTTTTGCAATTGAACATTCTATAATGGTTGAACAAGAAAGCAACCTCTGTGGGCCATAAAAAAAGATTTTTTCATTTCATTTTGAATTAAGAAAAACTAAAGGTATTTTTTTTGTTGATTTTATGGTGATTCTGTTTCTTTTTTTTGGTTTGCAGAGAAAAGCCAATATAATGACCTCTTTGTTCGTAAAGGATAAATTTTTGTTTTACCATATGTGTAGCATATCCTGCTTCTTTCAGATACTCAGGCAAAATCTGTTTTTAACAGTCACAATCAAAATTCAAACAGATGGAACTGTACAATTTGCAATACACTACAACAAGATGAGAGAAAAGTTGGTAATTTCCCAGAGAACGATTTTTGGACCCCCCCTCGCCCGCCCCCTCTTTTTTAAATTTAGAATTTATTTACATCTCTCAGAATATAGCATTCCGGATAAATTCTGTTGAAAAATTTGTTAATCAATAATTCTGATTATCATGAAGATGTCCTTAATTGATGTGTTTAGTCCAATCGGCTGGTATCTCGAGAATGCTCCACTTTGAGTTCCCAACCTTAAAGTTTTGCATAATGTTGCTTTTTAAGAGTTTATATAAATTGTATATAACACTTCTGTTCTTAACACTTGTGTATCATCAGTACAATACCCGCTGCCTGTTTAAACACCTTGTTCTTAACACTTCTACTTGTGTATCATTAATATAAGATCAACTGTCTGCTTAACAACACCTTGTTATTACAATTTGTGTATCATTAATATATGATAAACTGTCGCTACCTTATCTTTAACAAACGCGACGGTGAAATCTTAGATAATCATTAATTCAAAAAACAGAATAAAACATTTTGAAAGAACAAATGTGGAACGAACAATCCAGCTGATAGCTTTAGCACGGAACTTTCGATTTTTAGAAATCAAGAACGTTAGCTGTCACTAGATAATCACTAGAACAAACTTCAAAAGCAGTGAAATTGTAAGGACACAGGTTAAGAATCACTGTACTGTGAAGACTGTGAACACTCTAGTTTATTTCATGTACCGGACCGAATTTTAACAGCCAGTTCAAGCTGAGCAGTACAGATACAGACTATATTAGGCCAAACGGTGCAGAATGCCAATGGAATAATCCCCTTATTGTGAAATTTCTGTAGAATGTTTACCTCCAAGCATATCTGCCGGTCATAAAAGCTGCCCTGGATGGAGTACATTTAGCATGAACATAGGATTTCTCCAGTCTTATTCCATCAGCAGAGAGTTTCTAGACAATATAGATATATTAGAGTATACCTCCATTCTTTGATTACATATATATTGGAATATACTTCATTATTGTAGTATAGATGAATTAGAGTATACTTGGATTATAGATATTTTAGACTATACTTCCTTTCTTGGATTATAGATATATTAGAGTAAACCTCCGTTCTTTGATTATAGATATATTAGAGTAAACATACGTTCTTTGATTATAGATGTATTAGAGTATTCTTCCATTTTATATAAGCACGTTCAAACAGCATTTATTTCATACCTCCATTGTTGGATTATAGATATATTAGAGTATAACTCCATTCTGGAAGTATAGATTTTTAATAGTATACCTCCATTATTGGTTTATAGATATATAATATATAGAGTTTACCTCCAATCTCCATTTTTTGATTGTAGATATATTAGAGTATACCTCCAATCTCCATTCTTAGATTACAAATGTATTTTTGGATTATGTCTATCAATTTGGGAGTTCCATTCTTAGAGTATATATTAATTATAACATACCTCTATTTTTGGAGAATGTTATTATATAAGACTATACCTTGAGTATAAATTCATTAAAAAGTATACCTCCATTCTTGGAGTATATATATCAGGATTATGCCATGAAACATGATTCCAACCAAGATCATCAGCCATCAAGAAGATGATATGCGGAGGACTGTTTCCATCTCTAGGCATATATACAGGGTTACCCACGCAGGATGAGACTGTAAAGACGACCCAGAATTCAAATGAGTATTTTGATGTTTTACAAAATGATTAAGCAGAGAAATAAGCTAGTATTGGCCTAATACAAGGAACCTGGAATGCAAGAAAACGGACCGAAAAATTTGCACAATCGTTTCTGAAGTATCATCCCTTGTGGGTAACCCTGTAGCATAAAAAAATAATAGTTATACATTTAATTAAGTGATGGACGCTGGACAATTTTCACAATTATTAGAATGTTTATTTTCAGAAACTACAGTGAAACCCTTAATAGCGAATACATCGAAAGAATTCATCAAATGTCGTATTCTTCACTTTCTGATAACGGAATGTTGCAGATATTTAGTTTTTAGTTAAATGATTATATGGAGCTCTTTAAAACTGTTCCCGCATATTCATGGCTATTTATCTATTTTCGCAAATACTGAAATTTACGTAACATAGTATAAAACTCATTGAAAAATTGTCAAGACGACATTTGATAAATTCTTCCGATGTATTCGTTATTAAGGGTTTCACTGTATGAAAAACGTTCCATTTAAAAGGATAAAAACTTGACAACCTTTAATCAAGAGGAACACAATGTCATAAATCTGCAAATCATATTTGAAAATAATCTAATTACGTTTACGTTAAACTTAAATTGTGAACACGTTTACATTTTAAAACAAAGAAGAAAAAAATTTTGCGGATTTTCAAGAATTTAAATTTTTTTACAAAATTAAAAACCTTTAAAACACATTTTTTGTTAAAATTTTTATCATTTATAAACCTTCCCTGTGGTCACGTGATGTCCCACAAAAAAGAACCTGTAAAATCATTCGTTGGGATGTTTAGAAAGATGAAAATTTCCCTGTATGATAATTGAAGGACTGCAGTATGGTTTTGGTGAATTATATTGACGTACTAAGCCTAGGGGTGTCAGAAATGATTTTTTTCGCATTTTTTTGAAAACGTCCAATAATCCTATACGCCAATATAATTCACCAAAACCATACTGCAGTCCTTCAATTATCATACAGGGAAATTTTCATCTTTCTAAACATCCCAACGAATGATTTTACAGGTTCTTTGGGCCCAATCGGTTCAGCCGTTTTGACGTTTATTGGATACAAACAAACAGACAGACAAGCCAAATTTATATATAGATGATTCCATACTGAAAACACAGAAATATCAAACCTTGATAATTTTTTCTCTCGGTTTTTGTTTTTCTTCTTTGTCATGCATCCGGTTAACTTTTTAATTTATTCATTACATTGCATAATTGCATTATCAAGTTCTGAGGTATCTATATATAAAAGTTGTAATCTGGGGAACTCGGGAGAACCGCGGGAATGTTGTTACCTTGGTTTTGAGATTCTAAGTTGAGTGGGAAAATAGTTAAAATCGTGATTAACGACCAAGTGCGAGTAATCGGCAGAAATGACTAAAGAACTCTGGGCAACGCCGGGTTTAGAGATATATAGAGTGTATATCCCCCCGTTAGCGTAAGTTCAAGTCATCATTTTTCAAATATGGGAATGCCCAATTTACAACAGTAACCTTAAAAGCGTTGTTTGCTCGAGTATGAATTAGAATGAATTTTAAAAGCTGATTATTTTCAATTGTATTTTCACTACAAAAGTGACACTTGCATTTCTACTGCAGGAAAACATATAGGAATTATCAGAATTAAACACTTTAAACACAGAAAAACAACCATATCTTCCACACCATTGATCATATAAAGGTTTCAAGGATACTGTGGTTTTTCTGAAATTTTCATCTTTTCATAGAGGGTCACATGTAAATATACTTACAGTCCCTTTAATAGGATTACTCGTAAATAGACTTACAGTCCCTTTAATAGGATTACTCGTAAATACACTTACAGTCCCTTTAATAGGATCACTCGTAAATACACTTACAGTCCCTTTAATAGGATCACTCGTAAATACACTTACAGTCCCTTGAATAGGATCACTTGTAAATACACTCACAGTCCCTTTAATAAGATCACTTGTCTGCAATACACTTACAGTCCCTTTAATAGGATTACTCGTAAATACACTTACAGTCCCTTTTATAGGATCACTCGTAAATACACTTACAGTCCCTTTAATAGGATCACTCGTAAATACACTTACAGTCCCTTTAATAGGATCACTCGTAAATACACTTACAGTCCCTTTAATAGGATCACTCGTCAATACACTTACAGTCCCTTTAATAGGATCACTCGTAAATACGCTTACAGTTCCTTTAATAGTTCTAATAATCTAAATGAATTCCTGAATGCAGATGAGAACGCAGTAACAAATATCTCGTCCTGAAAAAAAATTTAAGCAAATTTATCCTCAAATATGCTAATTTTAGAGACCTCAATTTTCAATGCTTGTTGCTTTAAAACTTTAAAATTGAAATAGCATTGGGACACAAGTTGTGTTTCCTTTTTTAGAGTCTCACCCTCAATATTTTTTCTCTGTTGAACATAAAAGTTTTGTCTGATTTAGAATCGAATGAGATATTCATGTTTTTCTCTTAAGCATTAAATGACAGTCCCTTGAAATATTCGTTTATCCGGTCTATTTACAATCATTCCACATCTTTCTGATATCCACTGTATCATGCAATTTATCTGATTAATACCTAATCTCATTTTACTCTTCCCAAAGAATCTGAAATTGTAAAAGGATAGATGTTTACATGTTTCTACTACGCTAAATTCTTGTTAGTGATGTGTCTTAAATTGGCTCGTTTTGGTTCGTTTTTGGTTCGTTTTTGGTTCGTTTATGTTTCGTTTTTTGCCAAACTTTCTTTCAGGTTTTAAATTTGGCACAGTTTATAAGAATAACAAATGTTATAAAAAAATTATTTGTAGGGGACCTAGGGCTCTTTCTGGACCGTTAACTTTTTTCTTTCTAAAGCAGACAGTTTTATTATTGTCTCGATATGCAGAAGATTAACGATAAAAAATCTAAAAGAATTTTGGATTTTTATTTTTGTTGTTGTTTAAAATGGGATTTCAACATTCTTTTACAGTGTTGACTGAAGGACTCGTGCTATGAAGTTTCGTTTTCGTTGCCCTGTTCGTTTTCGTTACCTTTTTCGTTGCCCGTTTTTTTCGTTGCCTTTTTTCGCTTTTGTTTCCTTTTTGCCCATTTCGTTGGCTAAACGAAAATTTCGCGGAAAAGATTAAACGAAAATTTGGAATCCCTATAAAAATACCTCTATCACAATAAACTTTAGAAGATGATCTATTTGTTAACTGTCACGTTCTGTCGTCTTTAATCTATATGGATAATGTACAGTTTTCTCTAACTCTGCTTTAAAGTCAATCCTCGGTTACTTCAACCGGAGTTTTCAGTGCTGTAGGTAACGAACGGATTGACAAAATGGATTTAAATGTCCAGTCTTATAATCAAGTAGGTCTCTGTAGTCTGTACATCTTTCCAGTAGGTCACACTTTAAAAACACTGTGATCCTCTTAATATTAAGTTTGTTATGTAAAAATAACAGCCGAGAGGTTACGACGCTTTGAAGGCTAGACAACTTATGCATGATATCTATGATTTTGTTTAGGGAGTAGACAATACACCCCCCCCCCCTCCACCAGAGATATTCCCCCCCCTTTCAAAGGTGAAATCGGTTATGTTAAAATAGGTCGGCCATACAACTATAAGGGGAATCTTCTTTCGGTGCTACACAAAGATGATATGAAGAGATTAGATAGGCGAGGAGGTAGAAAGTTTGAGTTCTTAGCCGCGCCATCTTTTAAGGGTTGGGCAATTTTTTCATAGCTCGTTTTGAAATTTCACAACGATCTTTTTGAAAAGTTGTCGTTTTTAAAAATTAAAAAAAACCTTAGTTTAGAAAAGCTGTCGTTATTTAAAATTTCAAAGAATTCGTTTTTAAAAGTTGTCGTTTTGGACATGAAGTCTTTGCCATTAACCAAATCTTCTAATCCCTAAACTATTTGTAATGTAATGGTGTAAAAATTTGATTTATATCAATAATTTTAGATTATTTTATATAACAGGTTTAATGGTTCGAAATATCAATAGGTCTACTAATTATTTTAGTCATTCTACTTTTTTAAAAACTAGATTTTATCAAGTAGAGAAAAAGTGATAGTGATGCTAAGCTAATATTCATCCCTGCCATGCGATCTAAATTAATGTTTAGAAATGTGACTTTTCACGCAAAAATACCCCATTTTTATGATTTTTTTTTTGGACAAACCTCTTCCTCATAAAACAACCTCTTTCCATTTTTATAGTTAACGAAAGTCGTGTAAAAAGTTTGCTACCCCCCTCTGCGGACCAACTGTGCCCCCACCACAAGCGTATCAAGTTTTTGGAAAATTTATTTTAAACCAGGAAACCGTTAGCTTTACTGTAGTCTAAAAGAGAACTATTTTGATCAATTTGGCGGATTTTCGCGATATTTTTTTTCCCTAATCAATTATTGGTAGGATTTTAACTGTTTGTGTTTTCCGGACTTCTTAGCATAGGCTGAGGTTAACAAATCTTGTTGAATATAATTCAATGCATTCATGCAAAAGTGAAATACATAAAGCAGAGCAACAAATATGCAAATATTTTTAGTCGAGTAGCTGGTATTTTCCGGAAATTATTTGTGTTGCGCAATTTTACAATGTTTATGCTGGTTTGCAACAAATCTAATTTTGCCCAATTCCGCGGGAAAGTTTTCGCAAACTGCAAAATTTCGCGATAATTTGTTTGCAGTAAAAAGTTTAGAACCCATTTTTTAGTGTATTAAAACATAAATCAGAGTCGTACCTAATCTCATTTTCCTACCTCTCGTAAAGAAATCTGATATTATTTGTAAAAGATGAATTATTAGTATTTCCTCAGCTGGACTATTTAGCACATTTTTCATGCGCTTCGCGCCCAAATCTCTGGTTATTATCGCTGAACCTTTAACAAGCTTGTTATCTCTTGGGTGTTTGTCATTTTAAACATTTTCCTCTCAACAGCTATAAAGATAAAATTGCTAGCGATCAAGACCGAATTAAATTTGACCTCAGCCAATTCACCCTTTAATTTTTCGCAAACACTCCTTTTGCTCAGGAAGTACATAATTTTGCAAACTAAGAGAACCCCCCCCCCCCTCCTATTAATAAAAAAATTTAAATCGTTATATGGGTTTATTAAGTCTTAAGATAACAGTTTACAATTAAATTAAAAAATTAGATTACCCCATTATATAAAAAATACCATAAAGAGGCAAATAATAACCCCCCCCCCCCCTGTGGAGAAGGAGAAGGTGGGTTTTGTACAAAAATACCATCATATTCATATTGAGATTTATTTTTATGCGGATTTCACACCCCTTCTCAACTAAAAATAGTTTGATTAAAATCACATGGAATGAAACCTGTCCTAAGTGAAAGCGAGAAATCTATTGGACTTATTTTGACCTTTTTAGAAATCTGATTTTGGTAATTAAAGACCATTTTTTTGGGTCACCCAAATATATTTAAAAAATCTTCTCTAAGCGATATTTTTTTTCGAACAATATAACATGTTTTCAATCATAGTTATAGATTACAAGGAATTTTCTCAACAGTTTTGTAAAATATGAAAGGAGATACAACTGAAGCGGCCCTACCATGTAATTATAATGCTTTGAAGAAAGTACTCAGAGATCGATTATCAGCTAAGATATGCTATATTTTCCACAGCATGTTATATTGTGTACAAGTACTGTACATGACCAATCAGCAAACATCTGAATTTAGGGATATTTAAGGATCCTTTGGATACGAAACACAAAATCTTCAAAAAAAGACTGAAATATAAATAGTATGTTTCATGCTTAAAATTGGAGTATTTCTTTAAAAGTTGTATGGGTATTATATTCAACAAGTGGCTATGAGATGTCACTCTAAAAACCTATCGTAAAAACGTAGCATGTCGTGCCAGGTCAACTTAGGCATGTATTTCTTAAACAAATGGAGTACCATCTGCAAAGCATGTATAATCATATGGTAGGGCGGGCCGCGTCAGTTGTATCTCCCTTTTATTTCATACTCCTTGGCTAGCGCGGAACAGATAAAAACGTGTTTTATAAAACAAAGAAAAAATTTTTTTTGCGGATTTTCAAGAATTTAAATTTTTTTTACAAATTTAAAAACCTTTAAAACACATTTTTTTTCATTTTTATCAATCATAAACCTTCCCTGTGGTCACGTGATGTCCCACAAAAAA